CCTGGGAGGACCGGTGGGTACGGGAGCTCACAGTCTGGGTACCCCTCCGTCTGCTGTAGGGCCCCGAAAGGAGAGGTCCTGTTCCCTGCAGATGCCTCCGGGTGGTGGCTAAATTGTCTCTCTCAGCAGTGGCGGGCAGGGAAGGGGGAGGGGAAGGGGGAGGGGAAGGGGAAGGGGAGAATGAAGCAATATGGCATCTGCCGATTGGCTCAAGTCTGGGCCTGGGAGATGTCCGGAGGGTCCTGGGAGCCTGGTGCCCTGTCCGCAAGAGGCTCACCGCTCACTGGCAGCAGCCGTCTCTGGGCTGGTGTTGGCAGGTCGCTCCAACCACTTAGGAGCCCACTAGCAGTCCTATATGCAAGAGAGGGCAAATTTAACTGCTCCACCTATGCTCGTCACTGGTCTCCAAGCCTCTCAGGGGCCTTTCTCCTTCCAGTTCTCCACAACTTCTTCCCATGGAGTTTCCTGTAGTTTCAGGCACCCTCCTTATGACCCTCATCTGATCAATGTTTCTCTGCCTGTTTATTTTTTTTCACTTTCTTCTAAAATCTGTCTTTCTTGCAGAGACACTCTGGCTGGCAGTTTTTCTCATCCGCCATCTTGCCCCTCCTTCCTCCAAAAATTAGTCTTTCCTGCTTCTTCTGGGAGAGATTTCCAATCTAATTTTTAACTCACTAATTCATTTTTAAGCTGTGTCTATGCAATCTATGTGCTATTTGTTTCAACTATTGTGTGTAATGTTATTTTAGCAATTGCATTTTTCTTAACCAGTAGTCCCACTAGGTTCTTCTATATGATTTCCTGTTTCTTTACATGTTACTGATATCTTTACTGAAGTCCTCCAATATACATTTTCAAGCTTATTTGGAATTTTTCATCAGTGTTTCCCAGTCACTCTAGAAGGTAGTATACTTTGTTTAGTTTGTTAGCTTTCTTTTGGAATAGTTGTATTCCTCAGATCTCTAATTATCTTGTCCTGTGAGCTTCTGTTCCTGGAATAATTGGTTTTTTAATGTCTATTGGAGAATGGGCAAAGACTAGGCCTTGGCTTTGCATGTCCTGGTGGATTTAAGGAGAATGAAGGAATGGGTCCCAGGGTAAAGACCTAGTCACCATAGCAGCATCCTTGATCATTTTCCCTGTGGTTATTCTGCCAGGAAAACTTAAACCTGAACACTGTAAACCCTGAAGAGTAAAAGCATAGGGATGAGGAAATCTCTCCAAGCTATAACCCACCAGTCTTATGGGATCAGAGGAGAGGAGAGAAGAGGAACAAATACCCAAGGTGGCTACTTAGTGCACACTTGTTTGTTTTCATCAACTCCTTACTTCTTTAGGGCTTTTGTCTTGCCCTGAGTGTATCCCCGGGACACTTGGACCAGAAATCAGTACTGTTGTTATAGGTGGTGTCCCAAAGCAATGGAGAGAGTGAAGTGCAGAACACAAATGCTTTCCTTTCTCCTGTTCTTTACTGCCTATAGCCTCTGTCAGTTCACTAGATCCTTTTCTCCTCTCCTCAAAATGCATACTGGTTTAAGAAGCTTAGGGTTTTTTTTCTTCTCATGTGTATTTTCCCCTTTTGTTTCTTGCTTTTTAAATTAATTACTAATAGTTGAAATGCATGTTTCCTCTCTGTTTTTATACTTTCTCCAGGGTTGATATCCAGAGGGGGAACCAGCACCCTAACTAGTTTGCCATCGTGGGTGGTCCTACTACTCCACAGTGTCCCTTCTTCCTTGACTCTGCCATTCTTCATCACTTGGTGAATAGTTGAATGGGTGAATGAATATTCATGTTCTTAATCATCCTATCAATTCAGGCCCAAATTCTTGAAACCAATAAGTGGAAGTCTTGATACAAACAGTATCATGTACAGCACGGACTACTTATATCTAGCTCTTTAGCACACCTTAAGTTAGGCTTAGTGTGTTCATCGAAAAACCATGGAAAATTTTCCAAAACATTCTCCCAAATATCTGTACAAAGATCACATTTGAAGTGGAGAAGCTGCAAACCAGCACTGTGTGTGAATACCTCACTGGCTAAAAGAGGAAATCATCACTACAGAAAGACTTTTAAACCATAGAAAGATGAGATTCATCTGAAGGCTGCTTATATTTAAAGGAATATATGGACCATGAATTTGTTTACTTTGGATCAAAAAGACAAATATGGAAAACAATCTCTCTTCTTTTCTCAACCGACAGAAGATTACTGTCGATACCCTTTAGAGTTGAACAAGGGGAACAACTTTATTTTGAGAGGCAGGATAATATATAGTAGACTAACCAGGATGGCAATTTAAAAAGCCCAGGCACTGGGCAGTCTTGATTCAAATCCCAGCTCAGCCACTTACTAACTGTGTTGTTGTGGTGGACAAGTTATTCAACTTCTCTTCCACTAAGTTTTCTTATCACTAAAATGGGGTTAAAAGGAGAATTAGTTGTTACAAAGAATAGGTGAGTTAATTGGTCTATTTATATTGAACACAGTCTTTCAATGACTGGTGTTTCTCTCTCTTTTTCTTTTTAAATCATCTCTATTTAAAGGATGTTCTCTGTAACTTTAAGCCCACAATATTCCTTTCCCAATGACATTACACAGAAGCTACACTGCATGGGTACAGTGCAGAAGGCGCTGCATTGAGAGAAATGCTTGCTGCCCAGAGACTAGCTAGCCATCCTGTTGTGCAGAGATATGAGGAGTCTGCAGCTGGGTCTATGTTTGGGTGTATGGGCTCTGTGTGAGAGACCAGTGTACTAGCTTTGATCAGCCAGTCTGGCAGAGTTGGATGGAGATTGATTTCCTGATATTTTCTGCATTTGTTTTTTCATTAAATTCACCTCAAGTTTTCATTCAGTACTTCACCGGAAATACTCTGAGATTTTCATTAGGAAGCAAATTTCTCCAAATTAAAATAAAATAATGGATCTGTTAAGCAACAGAGACTGTAGTGACATGAGGTGGCATTGCTGGTCAATAGGTGAAGAGAATGGCACAGTGTGAGTCTCAGTGGAAGGCTTCTGGGAAAGTTAGACAGAAGGTATTGAATTTCTGTAAATAGACATGGACATTGATCAGTGACCTAAGAGACTGGCTGGTCAATGCTTAAGATAATAGAAATCTGAAATCTTTCAGAGATGTTTGCTAATTCAAAATGGAGGAAGATATGATATCAGAAAATCTTTCTGAACTAAGTTAGTTACAGTTTCAATGGCTGTGTTTTCTTTCCTTCAATCCTTCATATTTATTATTCAGAGATATTAAACAGATGTTAATTTCATGTCTGGAAAAGAATCATCAGAAATATAATTCTTAATTTTCAAATGTGGCTTCTCTACCTTCCTTTGCCTCACATGTACAAATTATCATCCTTTTTCTTTGTGTTTCTAGTTATTGTTTCCTGTAACCCCCTGGCTCCACGTTATTATAATAGTTCAGTAAAATTAATTTGACATAAGCTTAAATTAGGAGTAATACACCTTGTTTACTCTTTGAAAATAGCAAGTGGGATTTCTTCCTGAGTTGATAGATTTTCTAAATATGGTTTCTGATCTCCCTTCTTAATTAATAATCTCATTTTAAACCCTAAAGTGCTAACTCCTGTGATGAGCAATTGAGCTGTAATAATCTAGCCAATGGAAAAACCATGAGTTTGGACCACGTTGTCAAGAAAATGAGTCCTCTTTGAACCCTTGTATAGAGATCTTGTTCTGAGAATGTTTCTTATAAGTGGACTTCTTCTGGTCCTTGTTAATGAGGAGGGAAGATCACACTCAGCTACCACCCCCAACCACATGTGTCACGTTGTTCTTCCACCCCAAAGATATCAGTGGTTATGGTAAGTGTTCACCTAGCATGTTGTGATTTTCACACTGACACAGAAATGAAGCAATCCCTATTGCAAAGAAACTTTGCCATGATAGCCACAATTAATGAAGACTTGTTTTAGAGTGGGATCAAATATGTATGAAACATCTATTGAATCAACAAGTAATGAGTGAAGGAATGAATGAGAAGGGTCGTACCTGCACATTACGGCATTTTTGTCATGTCTTTCCAACATCTTTCCTCCTTCAGGAACCATTATATCTATTTGCACCTAAAGGCCTATTTTGGATCATTTTGTAGTAGGGATCAAAGCAGATGGGCCACTAGCCATCTGAGTGCCAGTTTGTATCTTGAAGAATCAGATTTTATGGTATGATGGGAAATTACTTTTGTTTTTTAAGATCACATGGATAATAATATATATTTGTATTGCCCTCTGGAACATAAAGGGAAAGATGTAGCCCCTATGTAGCCTTTCTGAAAAAGTTCCTCAGATCTCATGAGGCAACAATTTCAAATGCTATCATACTGAGAAGACTCTACAAATTGCTCCTGTTATCCTTTATTAGTCCATCACAGTTCTCATTTAATCCTAATTTTTTTTCCATTTCTTGCTTTCCAGATCTGAAAATCTTTCCAATAGTGGCCTTTATGCATTCTAATGATAGTTAATTAGTCACCTTTCATCCAGGTTTAGTCTCTCTCCCAAATGATATTAAAAACCAATGATTGTAACAATTCTAAAGATCTCATGTGCTGTTGGACAGATCAAGTTGGGTCCTATAATAATAAAAACAAGAGTGATAAAAGGATATGATACTTTCTTGCCCTAGATTTCTTTGCTGTGCTTCTCAAACTTATACAATAGAGATTGACAATTGTGTGTGGCTTTGCATTACCAAGGGTATGAGAACTGTGTCACTGAATTTACAGTCAAAGTGAAGATGGTTACACTAGCAAAGATAATAATCCTGATATTTTTGCACATGGTTTCTAAGCTATACTTTCAGATTATCTTTTCCTTTCTACAGTACAAACAAGATGGGATGTCAGCAGACCATGGCTAAAATGAAAAAGGGATCATGGAATGAGCAGGAGACAAGATGAACGAATGAAAAGATGAATAATGTATTTCTTTAGAAAAATATGCAAATATACATCTATTTGCTTTTAATATAGTCTGTATTAAGTTACACATATACACAGCACAAGCATTTCACATAATTTTAAGAAAACTTATTCACAATTCTACTATAAGCTGTTTGGTTGTCTTCAGCCCCTACTATATTAGCACAATCACATCTAAAATATTTGAGCAATATACTATCACATTGTACCACAGCTGCCAGAAATACTCTGTTTTCCATGTTGTAAACAAAAATAGAACATTACTACATAACACTATGATTGGAAAAATACCTTCTTTTCAACTCCTCCCTTACATTCAGTAAAGGAGACTTAAGCAACTTCAGTATCCAAAATAAATTTTCGTTAGAGTAATATAATTTTTTCTGGGTGCACTAAATATGTAACCAGAACAAATCAATTTATTGTCTTTCCACAATTAAATCACTTCTGAAAGGCAGTGGCATAAGATGACATAGATGAGACTTGGGATTTTGAGGGTTTCAATATATCTCTTCATTTAGCATACAAATTAAATAATGGTAACTCAGATTATGTTGCAAATTCATAAATTAATTTCAGTAATGATACTGGTTTATTCAGGGATTTTTGAAGATCTTATACTGGGAAGTAAAGAGAGAGAGAGAGAATATAATATGGTGTTTTAATAAGAAGCTGTACTTTTATTTTAACGTGAATTGATTTATGGTTAAACTTGTAGCAGTACCTTTTTTTTTCCTGTTTTGCTAATAGCAGCAAACAAGAGGTCAACTACAAACTGATTTCTAATTAGCCCTACTGAATCTTCCTGGAAAAGACCGAGATCTTGTTAAGCTTTGAAGCTGGGTGGAAGGCAGTTAATGGACTTATATGGAGTCTTTTAATTACTAGTCTTCAACAAATTTATCTTTTACTGCTAGATAGCACCCAAGGGCAAGAGGTAATCTGCTTTATAAACCTTGGAGTGAATTGCTTTATAAATCCAGGAGTTTAGGAAAGTGGAAAACTCTCTTTAAAGAGAGGATTCTCTTCCACTAAGAATTATATTTTTGGCAGTTTTGTGAAAAATTGAGTGATGGATTCTTTGTGACCTCCCAGTTTATAAATATCAGCAACCAAACCAGATTCAACATTAAAACCAATTCCTTACAGCAGTTAGGCCCTGCCCAATGGACAGGACTATCCAAAGTCAAGCCAAGCATATGATGTTTCCAGTAAATTGACTCCCAATTTCTTTTTCATTCAAAGCATTACATATTCCTGCCATATGCAGGTCTTTTCTCCAAGAAACTTAGTCATCTTTCTGTTAAAAAGCCACTTTGTTTTGTAGAGGTCATGTAATTTGTGCAGTTTACATAGTAGGGATGCTAAAATATCTGAGTATCATCAGAATTGATTGAAATTAAAAATAAAAATCGGATCTATAGTCAAATACAGAAATATTCTAATTCAAAATCTAGAGTTAAAAAGAAAAATATTGACAGTAACTTGAATTTTTCAAAGGTATAAATGGCTCAAGATTAACAAGGAGCACCCTGTATTTAATCTAGGTCAATTAAGATTGTTTTTCTTGGATACTTTACTTGCATTACTATGATAACTGTATCTCAAACTCGGATGAATGATGGGGTTCACAAGTTGCAGTGGGAGACTCCATTCCTAGACTGTCTCCCAAAGCAATAGTACCAAGAATAACTTTCTCCAGATTTACTATGGACAAATTCACTTAATAATTCTTCACAAATGGTATGCTCAGCGCCTGGGAGGATGGGAATCACTTTAAACACATGATTTATCTTTCTCCCAGGAAATGAAGGCTCAGTGATCACGACAATGCTGTGTTTGCTTCACATTCAAGCGGATGACTCTTGCTCAATGACATTCAAAGGGATGATCTCAACACCCTCCTCCTCCTCTTCCACGTCAATGGCGAGCTCATTCCTCAGCTCCTGATGGCAGATGTAGATGGGGATGTCTCCAGCCTCAGCAGCTGCTGCAGCTGCAGCGCGAGCGGCAGAGCGGTTGGAGGGGCGGCTTCCCCAGCGGTTCCGCTGGAGCTTGTACTGCGCCCAATGGCGCTTCAGGGTGGTTTGGACCTGGAAGGAAAAAGTCAGCCTTGTTTGCATATGATAGTCAGAAATGACCCATGCTAGTTTATGAACACAATTCTTAGAGTTTATCAGAGATTAAAGGAGGTCGAAGTGTTAATTTTGATCTAAAGAGCTGTGCTGTATATGCTGTGGACATGGGATATACCATCTTGGAAGAAGTATTTGGAAATTGAAGAACTAAGTCATTGCTTTGATCACCACTGGCAAGTTTATTTGCTATTCTTGAGTAAGAGTTTCTTCTTTGGTTCTTGTATCCAATGAATAAAAGTTAATCTAATTTCATAATCGATGTGGCTTACACGTCGTATTAGGGAGAAAGGTTTAAGAAACATTTTTTTTATGCTACCACTCTTGATAAGGGAGAAGCTTTTATATAAGTTCACATAGCATTGGTCATGAAAAAATATATATGTAAACTATAGCATAATTCTAGACTTTATGACAATGGCCTCATACTGTGGATTTTCCCTTATCCAACATGACGTGAGATGGAATATGCCGGATAAAACTCTGGTTAATATAGTGACAACCTTTTAAGAATAAAACTTCAATCTCTCTTTATTGAAAGACTTCTAACATGTAAACAAACTTGCTAAATTGTTTTATAAATATGGGAAACTATATATTGAAAACAAGAGGTAGAGAAAATGCTAAAGTCAGGAAACTCTAAATACAAAAACTACAATAACCACAACTGAAAATAATAACACAGGCACTAAATTTGCTTGCCTAGCTCTGCTTTTTATAGAACAGAATTCCATTTAATAGTAAAGTTCATCCTTCCTCTTGTCTCCAAACTTTTTGCTTTTCTTTATAGTTGAACAAAACTAAAAAGCTGATTATTCCAACAGTATCTTTTCTGCATTTCTGAGAGTTTCTATTGCTCAGTACATAAGGCAAGCTTACATACAAGGTATCTGCATCTATTTATTTTTTATTTATTTATTTTTTGAGACAGAGTCTGACTCTGTCTCCTGGGCTAGAGTGCCATGGTGTCTAGCTCACAGCAATCCTCCTGCCTCAGCCTCCCAAGTGCTGGGACTACAGGTATGTGCCACCATGCCCAGCTAATTTTTTCTATATATTTTTAGTTGGCTAATTAATTTCTTTCTATTTTTTTTTTTTTTTTTTAGTAGAGACAGGGTCTCGCTCTTGCTCAGGCTGGTTTCAAACTCTTGACCTTGAGTGATCCACTCGCCTCAGCCTCCCAGAGTGCTAGGATTACAGGTGTGAGCCACCGTGCCCGGCCTGCATCCATTTATTAACACATCTTTAGTTCATTTGGTTGCCAAGCTCACATACGGCAACTAAACACATGAGAGAGAATCTGGGAGAAATATAACAGAGACAAATCATGTAACTAGTTGATCATGGAGACCATTTTGTCTACTTTACATTTGTATAAATCCAAACGAAGATAAAAATGGCTGCAAAACCCATTACTGCTATAAAAACTACATATATAATATAACCCTGAATGATTCTTCAGCAAATAAGTTTTTTTCTGTATTAGTAGAGTAATAATCTCTCCTGATAATTATTAGCATTTGTCATATAATTTTCAAGGTTTTGCTCACAAGAAGGCAAAGCCAAATGATTCATTGAAAAGCAAGTCCAGAAAGTAAGGAAACTGTAGCTAGAGAAGTTCATCTCTGCACAGCAGAGCAACTGTAAGGTTCATGATGACAAATGGCAATCAGAATAATTTAGCAATCTGATAGTTTGAATACCCGAGTTTTCAAATTATGGAGGTAACAAATCCTGTTCTCCTATTTTTGGGGGGAGGTGATGAGGGGTTGGATGAAGAACGGAATAAAATGTATCAGTGAAAAGGGAACAATAAAAATCTTGCTATGTTGAGGCTGGAGATGGATACAAACGGGTCACAGAGCAGCAAAATATTTTAGGTGCTCACTAAATATTTAACTAAGAAATAAAGAATAGAGAACTAATTAAATATTAACTGGTAATGGTTAGAAAACATTTCTAATTACCAACAGGAAAATAATATGTTGGTGTGTTCACAAAATGTGATCTGTTTTGTATAGAACTATTAGGAGGAATTGATTTAAAATGTTCAAAAATACATTTGCATTAAAAGTTATACACTACTAGAGAAAGTATACTAACAAAGCCCCAGGGAGAAATTATATACATAGATAATTTAATTGGGATTTAGTTAATTTAATTGAGAATCAGAAAATCTGTGTTCCAGTCCTGGTTTTAACTACAACTGCATTTGCGACATTAGGCAAGTCACATGATCTTTCTGGAGCTTAGATTTCTCACTTGAAAAGGAGGGAGATTTTGAATTGTGTTCCCTAAAACCATGGAAGTTCTTTCAAAGAACTTCTGGGGCAATAGCAGTTCCACTTTTATATTTTACAAATTGAGCTCCCGGGTAAGATTTTGTTTGAAGAAAGGGTATTCTGGCTAAAAAAAACTAAGAACACTGGCTATATGAATCTCTAGATTCTATTGATCTAAATAAATATCAGATAATAGGTTATTTATTTAAGAATCCTTTTTGAGTCTTAACTTCAGGTGATTCTTGAAATGTTGAAAAAGTGGCACGACACTAGCACCAAACAACTGGAAAAGAAGCAGGAACTAGCACAAACTGGATGGACATTGGCTCTGCCCTAGCAAGGGCTTGGGTTTTCCAAAGGGAATAGAGATATGACTTTTCTTTCTACGGGAATCCAGAATAGATCTAACTATTACTGCTGAGGGTGTAGACAGTTCAAGATGCAACTCAAGGAAAGTATAACTTAGCTGCCTGTCCAGATAGTATCTGTAATTGTGCCACATACCTGTAGATAAGATTTAGCTTGGAATAATGGGAAAAAATCCCAATGCTGCTAGGTACAAAACCCTATGAGGTCAACTGTAGAAATGAGATCAAATGAAATGTGTATGGAGACCCTTTGGAAACTATAAAATGCTGGCTTTATATAAACAAGTGACAGTACTTTATAAAATGCATGCTTACCTCACTGTTGCAGAAGCAGTGGATAACCGCGACGAAGAATCCCTAAAAAGAGAAAGAACAATAGAGTTGAAATTATTTCTGTGTGCACTTAGTTGTTTAGTGACCAATATAAATAGACTGCCTGGACAGGAGAATTTCACTATTACAAAAGCAAGTCAAGGTTTGATGAAGTCAAAAGGCAAGAAAAAGAATTACCTAGCACTCATATTCAGGGCTACACCACAAGATATTCCATTAAAAATGTATTTTCTTGTTAGGATGCTATTGTTTGGCTAAAGGACAACTCTAGTAAATCTGTTTAATATACTTCTCCCTTTAATATGGAGATTTATAGCAGAATATGCTGATTATAGTGCATTTGAAAAAAAATTATACTTAAAAAATTTAAAAACTGAAATCTTACAGAGTTCAGTAGAGAAATCTTTTATAAGCCTAAGTGTCATTATGCGTGACTGTGGGCCTGACTGTATCCTGTGGCATCATGGAACTAGTGCACTACTATACCCACAGCCAAGCTCAAATAAGGACATGGACTAAATAAGCTCTGAAATTCTGGTCACTCCTTGTAAGATTTCCTGTGCCCAAGTTTTAATTATGATCAAAGCAATGGCTCAAATTATGAACACAATCCCTAAAATTTCTTTTTAGCCCTGTTAATTTTGGCCTCATTTTCACATTAACCCTAAAATAGAAGATAAAACTAATTTGAAAATTTTAATTGAGACTACAAAACTTGGGCCTAAGAGCCTGCGGTAGAGTCATCTCTGCCTTAGGACTGACCCTCCATGCCCTATCCTGTTCTCAAAATAACTAGCATTATGCTTTCAATGGAACTTTGGATATGGGCAAAGTGAATGGAAATGGGGCAGCCATTCTCCCCTCCAGTGTGGCAGACACTGGGCAGTCCAGGACAGCCCCTGAGAGCCCACTCCATTCTCTCCTGCATGAGGAGAGACCTGGACACAACTTTCCTTTGTGGACACTGAAGTGTCATGGATCGATTCCTGACATTTGCTGGACAAAGGGAGAGTGATAGAGGAGGAGGCATGGGCAGCTTGTGCACAATCATTACTCCTCCTGACTCCAGAGTCAGCATTTATTTATAAAGGAAGGTCTGACAATTATTGCATGTTTGACCAGAAAGACACGCCTGAGTGGGACCAGCTGAGGGCTCTGGGAGTGATAGGACAGCAGGCCCAGAAAGAAGAAGCAAGAAAGAATCTCATAAAACCTGGTGTCCTTCAGATTTTTGTCTGGACTTCCTGAATTAGAGATTGTGTTGTGACATTTAAGATCATGGGCCTTAGAGTTAGATCAACTTGCTAAATAAGCACAGTGGTTGAATAAATACACTATTGACTTCCTTACCTGGAAATGAATCAGAGAATGCATGACGTAATCATAGATCTGCCCAAGCACCTTGTTGGAAGGTCTCCACGGAAAGATAACAAACTGGATTCCCAGCAGGGGCACAAGGATCAAAGTAGCCTTCACAGCCTTCAGGTACATGTACGATTCCGGCTCACGGGTTTGCTTCATTTTGACCACAAGCACACGGACAATGTTCAGCAAGAAGAAGAAGTTGATCTGCAAAGATATGATGCTATGAGCAAATCATCCAGATAAGCACCTCTTAATGACACCCACCGTTCTCCACTGTTGTTTATCCAATGTGGGGAACAGATGTCACCTGCATAGAACACCTGCCATGATTTGCTCAGCATTCCTGGGACTCTGAACATCAGCATAATCAAAGACCCTTTCTAGACCTGTATTTATATTTTCTTTGTTTTTCTTAAATAAAGAAAATATTTTCCCTGTGCATGTAAATATATTAGGTTCAACTCTAATGAGGATGTCTATTCTTTATTTTGATTTTACAACTTTTACAAAAGGGTGTGGAAAACACCACCTCTGCATCTTGCCTCCCTGTTTTTCATTATCAAGATTTTCCCCATAGCCAGGACTACTTGACAGAAAGTGAAATGAGGTCCGAAAAATTCATCTGTAAAGTTTATGTAATAGAGACAAATTCCTTAGCCTTCTTTTAGAAATAACATTTTAAAAGGGAAATATTTTCATTGAGGTATAATTTGTGTTCAATAAAATGCAGACTTTAAGTGTACGTTTGAGAAGTTTAGACAAATGTCTGCACCTGTGGAACAACTACCCCAAAGACCACTCTAAAGACCATTTGTACAACATCAAAATATCAAATCAAAATATAATTGAAATATCTTTTTTTTTTAATTTTTATTAGCACACATCACACCTGGGAAATAATTGAAATATCTGATCAATTTTATATGTATAGGTTCATAAGACATAAGATTATTTAACTAGAGAAACTGAAGGGTACATCTAATTTTATTTTGATATGAAACATGATATCTACCAAACCAATGGACACAATGGCAAAAGAACATTACATATAAATTAAAAGAAAATAGGAAATTGACATCTTCTGGGTCACTATTTTTGGCTATGAAGGTTAGTTTTGAAACCGCAGTTGCTTTTAAAATTTAATTGACAATTTATTTTAAAAATAATTAGAATGATTTTTCTACCTGGAATAGAAATAACTGTTACTGTCCCAAAATTTCAAGACAGAAAAGAGATCATTGGTAATAATTGAACCCTCACAGAGTGCTAGAAAGGTTCAAGACCCACATCAGTGGATCCCTGTGAGCACGGCTGAGCTCGTGAGTGAGCACATCACTACTCTGAAGGAATTTAATTTCTGTTGGAAAGGCCAGGACAGTTAGAAGACAGTGTGGATGATAACCTAGTTTGATCAGTTCCTAATGGAGATTTTTTCAATGTGAGAGCAGGACATTGGTCTATGACTAGAGATTGTTTTCATTTGTCTCACTCTTATCTGAAGAAAACACTGCCTTTGAGGTTAATGGGAAAAATAAGAATGAATTATTAAATTGTTGGTTCTGATGCTGGCCAACACATAGTAAGCTGTGGGTAGAAATAAAGAACTTGGATTAAGAATCAGACAGTCACATTCTCCATTGCCCTGTCCCTCATGTCCAAACTTTTTACTAGTTCCGTGATTTTGAGTGAGATTACTACAGTCATTGGGTGTTGTTTTCCTAAAGAGTAAAATGACCTGCCATCTTGACTTTAGAGGGTTGTTTTTAGGAAGAGCATGGCAATGTGTGTGAAATGCCTGAAATATTTCACATGCGGGATTAGTGGTAGTTACGATGATGGCTCATGTACCAAAGATGAAAAAGAAGATGGTTTTGTTGTGTCAGGCCCAGGGAAAAGGGAAGACATCGTTTATGGTATCTCACTTTCTTTATCAACAACACTTTTTCACCATTCCTGTAGCCCCTTGGCCTTAACCTTTACCTAATCTAGTTATAGAAGTCTTAAAAAATAAGCTACATTACTGTTATAGTGTGTATGAAAGTGAGCTTATGTAACCCCCCTATGTATAAATAAAAGTCATTTTTGAAGGCTTTAAAGTGAAATTGTTATTCTTACCATAGAATATCATTAAATTAGATCCATTTTGAAGTTATAATACATATGCTACATGGAATCATATTCACAGAAGTTTCAACAAAGAGATAACACTTTTAATAATGGATTTAAAAACCAATTCTCACCACTAATGCTGCCATGACAGGGCCGTGGATTATGTAAAGCAAATAGGTTTCCATACTCAGCCAGCAGCTGAAAAAAAGAGAGATCAGATCGACACAAATGCACTGACTTTATGTACCAATATGTTAACTTAAAAACTACTATAATACTTACTTGTCATCGTAGTACACGGCCCGGGTAATAGCATGGGCAACGGTTGGCAGAGCCGGGAACCCTAAAAATGTGAAAAGTACAAGTCACACTTGGTTTCTTGGTCATAAGATATAAATACAGTTGCATGGAAAATGGTAGTTTGCTTGCAAAAATACTGGCAAATTTACTGTGTCTGTCAAGATATTCCCCTGATATTTTTGCACAGATTACCTTTGGTCAAGGCAGTTAAAAATGCTTCCTGTTAGAACAGCATGTGCTTTCAGAGGGTTTGGTTAAGAGCATCCAGATAATTAAAAGCCTTTTACAAATTACCAAGTGTAGTAGGTACACTATGACTATTGCTACTATTGTTATATCTATGCTGCTGCTGCTGACTATTAACCGAAACCAGAAAGCCTTTCACTGTGGGTGAACTGGGCTCTTAGGCAGGGTAGCTGGGTCACCCCAAAAGGAGGTGACCTGGAACAGTGTATGGAAGCAGTAGTCTGCTTTTAAAGCCTTAGCTGATGTTCACATTATTTCTCAGAGCCTCTTTGTTTATGTCTGTTTACATCACATGCATTGATCCTGTTTACCTTTTAGTACGAACACTTCAGAGAAGCCAGTGTATGTCTTACCCTCTTTAAGTTTTTGCTATAGAACCTTTATGAAGACAGCTCAGCATCCACTTCCCTGACTAAACTCAAAGTGCTAGTAAAAAAGAATTTTGAATTTATAAGTGGAACAATGGAGATAGTTACTGGCAATGCATCTTGCTAAGTTACATCTTTTTAAAAATCAATATTTTCATTCTATAAGTGTAACCTAGAATAAAGTTGTGATTTTCTTTAAAAAAGATTCTCTTTTTACTCCAATGTACCTATAAACCATGGAATAGTGTTTGGTTTGATTGAGACATCTGTAGAAAGAGGTTTTGTTATTATCATCAGATTAAGAAATGTGTCTCAGGAGAGAATTAAATATATACATTTTTATTTTCTGTGACTTATATGCCAAAAGAGAATGTCTCAAAACACTGAGTTTTTACCCAAGAATAACCTCAGCTTCTAAACCCATGAAGCATATAATTCAATAGGACCATCGATTTAATGTTTGGCTTGAAATAATTTTGAGTTTTGCTGTTTCCACAAAACATGATCGTATTTTTCACACACCTCTAACATACAAATTCCCCCCACTTGGGTTCAGAAACAGAAAATCATTCTCTGGATTTATTCTGAAATACATGTTTTAGAAGTAGCAAGAGAGGCATATGGAAATCTCAATTCCATCTCACCATTTTGTGTAAAGGAAAGTGTTTTCTACTTTACATGGAGGAGTACAGATCCCACCCCTTTTAACTCCTAGGACTTCTCACCTTCCTTTAGCTATGATGCCTTTTTTTTAATGCAATTTGTTTTTTCTTTCCTCTTCCTCTTCTCCCTGCAGGTCCCGAGATCCATAACGATAGATACATCCCTCCCACCAAAGATGGTGAAGGTGAGAATAATCCTCTCTCTGTAGGATTCTTTTTTTTTTTTTTCCCCTGGGAGATTAGATAAGTTCTACTTGTTCAATGTAAAAGTCCATGGGGAGATTTTTCTTCCTTTGATTTCTAACAAGGGGGACACTAGCAAGGAGAAGAATCAATTTGAAGAGTCCTGGAAATTAAATGATTTTTCTAAGAACTAAACTTCAATCTTTGAAGTTGCTTCAATTTGAAAGAAATCGACCACTAAGTGGTGCCATGCGGACTTGGAAGGGAGTAACTACTGAAAGAACCATTCTTTCATTTTCTGTTGGGGAGCATTTCACTACCAGATTCTTGTTCACCCAGAGGGTGATGTTTACAATGTCTTTTATGCTTTTCTGAGATTGGTTTCAAATCCTGTAGTTGGTAACATTATTCACAGCTGAGCTAAATGGGTGGGCATAGTTGCAAAAAAATTAGGTCCTAGGACTTGGGCTCTTTAGGGCCAAATTTTCTGCATCTAACTTTAAAGATTCTTTTCAAAGCATTTAGCTTATGCCTTTCTTTCCCCCTGGCATTGTAAATTTAGAACCTATCATACTGTCTTAGTGTGAAAAGAATTTCAAAAGGACAATGAAAATATTATCCAGTAGAGATTTCTTTTCTGCTCCATTAAATTCTTTAAAGTTTCTGTGAAACTGTTTTTTTTCTTGAGAAGTTATTTGGTACCAAGTTTACTTGCTTCCCTCCCACCCAGAAACAATGCTTGCTCAAAGTTCCAAAAGAGGGCTATTGCTTTAAAATATGTCATTATATCATGTCTCAATTTTGTTCTCGGAAGTTCTTAATGGTAACAAGTTTGGTGGAATTTTGGTGTGTGTGTGTGTGTGTGTGTGTGTGTATGTATGTAGGAATGGAGAAAGACAGACTGAGCTCTGGCATGCTAAATAAAATCACATTTTAAAACAATTTTGCTGACAATGTCTTTCCAAAAGTCTATCTACGGAAGTGCAAATCCCTCTAATTTTTTAATTAAAATTTTTATTTTACTGTAATAAGAACAGTTAACATGAGTTCTACTCTCTTAACAGAGTTTTAAATGTATAATGCATTATTGTAACCTATAGGTGCAGTAGATACAGTAGATCTCTAGAATTTATTAATCTTGCATTATACCCATTGATTAGGAAATCCCCATTCTGTGCTTAGCTTACTGAGTGTCGTGTTCTTTAGAATTCTACTTGAGTCATTCTAATAAAGTTTCCATTATTTGCTGATGAAGGAAGGTTAAGGTATCATATAAATATTTTACTTATTATCTTTGCCTTCTTTTTTGATACAGTTGAACAGCTTTTTCCTTTTTTCCTTTGAATTTTTTATGCATGTTAAGCAGATACCTTCATTGAGTTGTCTATGATGATGCCAAAAAGTTTTATAACTAATTCACGATGCATCCATGTGGAAAGAGCAGTATAAATTGTTCCTTTCAGGGTGCCTTCATTTCTGCTGAACGTCACAGGAAAGGATGAATTTATAGTCCTTTTTTCCCGTGGAAAATTTTCTGAGTGTGGCAGATAGATGTTTTTGAATAGTCAAAGCTGGTACAAGAAGTATGCCATAGATTTTATTTTTTAAAAAATAAATAAAATAGATCTGACAGAAACAGTGTATGTGTGTGTGTGTGTGTGTGTGTGTGGTGGGCTTGGGGTGGTGTGTTATTTTCAGGTTTTAAATTGGAAAACATTTGATTATACCAATTATTATTATTGTGATGATCATAATTGCCATCGGGAGGAGATTAAATAGTATCTAGTTGATTCCTGGGATTACCACCGTCAGGAAGTCTAGAAATTATTGAGAGGGTGTACATGAGGCTGAGAAGGCCAGGGAAAGGAAAACTTAGTCTTTGTGGAAGGCTGGAGCTAAACAAAAAATACATAATAAGAGGTCATTTTGGTTGCATTCTGGCCTGTTTTGAGAACAGGAAAGAGCAGGAGAACATACCACGTGGAAACGGTGGGGGAGTCATAAGCCTGACTGCAATCTCTCTGGATGGTTAAGGAAACAGGCTGTTATTGCTGCCCCTTGATAGGGGAGCAGCCAGCACAGGTGAGGTGGTTTGGTGTATAATCTAGATGGCCTATCCAGTTCTCAAGGACCCCTTTCCTGTTTTTCTGGATTGTTCGCCCATTCCCAGACATGTTTGCACTGTGTGTTAACATCCCTCTTAATTTTCTTGGCAATGGTTCATTGAAACAGGGCAGGCTGCCTGCTTTCAGTTGGACCAATCAGATTCTCTTGTCCTGCTATTCAGGATTGGGACTTTAAGGTGGGCATTTAGCCTCTGTGAGTGCCTGGAACAAAAATTGGAGAACTCAGGAAACTATGGAGTGGGCTGTATTTACCATGAGAGTTTTGAGAACAGAGTCCCTGTGGTCTATGGTCTGCAGAGAAAGAGCACGGTTAAAACAAAGGGTGGAGGCAAGCAAAGACAAGAGATAAAGGGAGAGAGCTCCTCGTTATCTGGTCTCAGTCTACAGCCCTTTTATTCACATGGCTATGCTTCTGACCTTGGCTTCCATGAGATGCTCTAGATTCTGACAATTTCTCTCTCTTTGCATAAGTTAGAACATCTTTCTGTTACTTGCAATCAAAGGGTTGTAGCATCATCAGTTTAATGTTGAAGCATCTTACCTATCTGCCTCACTGATCCACCATTACAGGATTATCCCATTGGGTTTGGGCAATGTATTTGGTTAAAATCTCTGTATTCCTGTTATGGAAGGGTGTTATAGAAACAACCCCCCGGTGTACAGACTATGGAAAAGACTTTGGGTGCTTAACACGACTTCCCAAAGTTGGTAACAATGCCCATTGGGCAGGGCTTTAAACACAAAGGTTGGTGTTTTTAAAAGTCCCTGGGATCATCCTCCTCCCCACTAAATCTTTCCTCCCTTACCAGCATTTTTCAGGGCTCACCCACCTACTGCATTAAACGGCAGGCTTAGCTGAAGGCCACCCAGGGCCTCTGCTCTAAGAGTCGCAGCTGCTCAGAGCCACCCTGTAGTGGACGTGGCAGGAGAAGCCCCCGGCTCTGCAGTCAGTGTGGGGTGGTCCACAAGTTCTTTCTCTGGTAGGGAAGTCTCAAGGCAAGTGTTTTTTTTTTTTTTTTTTTTTTTTTATAAGGTAGCCTATGTTTTTGTCCTAGCACTTGTTTTCTCTCATTGCTTCAGCGCCTATCTACACCTCTTCCACCAGGGGGAGCTGGACTTCCGGCAGCCCTGGGGAAAGAGGTGCAATTCCAGAGAGCCCTGACGCTCCTCAGCACCCAGCCTGAGCCAGTGTGGACAGAAGCAGCCACAGCTTAGACAATCCAACACTCAGCTTTTCAAAGCCATTGCCATGTGCTATGACGTCTGGCAGGCTATAGGTGCAGTCGCGTGTGGTAATATCTGCCCCTCAGCTGGACTCTATTTCCTGACCTTTTACTAGAATAAGTCCTGCTGATGAAGTGACAAGAAGAAATCCCATAGGAAGAGAAATGGGGAAAGGGTAGGAGAGGTATAGCATTCAAAATGCGAAATTCTCTTTGCTCTGCAAGGGCATGATAAAGTAGAAGGAGGCCTAATCAGATCTCTCAGTCAGGGCATATTTTGTGTCCCTCCGTTAGCTGAGTATGTTCCCTCAAGTCACCCTGATAGCCAGACCCTCCCTTTTCTATGCTGAGCCTAATGTTCATCACAGTTTGACTGAGATTGGTAAAGGCATCCTCCAAACTCTCCTGGAGATTGAACTGCCAGTACCTTCATCCCACCAGTCCTTGAAGGACCTGGGCCCCCTGACTCTGGTCTCTGAGACCAAGACTAGGAGAAGACTGAAAACGTACAGACAGAGGTGAAGGTGGTTCAAAAGTCAGCTGGAGAAAATACATACCCCAGCCTAAGAGATAATACCACCACATGCGCTGCCTCTCCACGAACACAGCCATCACAATGAGGGTATGCAGATAGATCCCCTCACAGAGCATCCAGAAATAGTTGCAGGACATCATGTACTGGTGGAAGAAATGCAGAATCTTGCAGCTCGCCTGTCAGACAGGAGTGAAGAGACTCAGAGGAAGACTTCTGACAGTGAACAGAAGGTAAAAGTGAAAAGGAACCAAAGTATCTGCATTCAGTTTGCAAGGCAGTTTCCTCAAATGTCTAGCTTTGGTGAGTTACATCACCATTCAGTGCCTTCGTTATCAGATCATGTTTCGATAAAACAAAATATTTGTTGAACAATAATGTCACTTTCAAGAGGGGACCCTACAGTTTTCTTGATTGGGCATACTACTTAAACAAATATATCTTTTCCACTAAAGGTGCCAAAGAGCTTTTATAATTATTTGATTAAAAATGGAATTGGAATTACAGAACTAAGGTTTTCCAGCCAACTGTAAGACTGTTAAAAATTCTTTTCTTAGGCGTATAGCAAAGCCTGGCACCTAAGTCAAAGGAGAAGAAATGAACCAAACTAGTGGGATTTGTGTCATTGATATGAAATAATCTACTCATTTTGTCTGAAAATCAAGAAGGAAGAAGGAATGGATTAGCAGATTTTGCCAAAGTTGATCACATTAATGAGTACTGCCAGACATTCTGCTCTTCCAACTTTTGCATTTTGGGGCGTGGGGCTGCAATACAAACTAATTTATAATAAAAGAGGTGGCTGCCTGTAAATTTACTTTTCAAATTCACATGGACAATATTGAAGCAAAATGAAGAGCATGCAAAGAGTATCTCTCCTGTCTCTTTAGTCGTTGAGGAACTAAATGGGTATGTTTGAAGACTGATGGCAAACAGTTAAAACAACATCCTTCACTACACAAACTTATTAATAAATAACTCAAAATAATGAAAAGTTTGAGTGGTGTAAATAGTACTAACTTCATAATAATTTGCACTGAATCAAAGCTGTCAATTTTGTTTCTGGCAAGTCTTATTTTAAAACAGAAATAAACTTTGCTACTTGTTCAGAGTGATCTCTAGTGATTAAGCATAATTATGTACATTTCCCTGAAGCTTCTAAAAAATGTTTTCTCATCAGTTCACTTTTGCACAGAAGGAAGAGTGTGAAGTTATGTTTACTTGAACAAGGGAAGAATCAATAAGTCAATTTCTAAATATTTTACTTGAAGGAAAATACATTTTAAAAGACCCTGAATGACAAAGATTTGTGGTCTATGTTGGTTAAATTTGCCAGGTTATTTTTAAATTAAATTTTATTTAATATATCTCTAGGTTACATATTGAGTGAACATGTAATTTCTGTTAAATATGTATCTACCTGATTCATCTTTATGTCTCTGCTGCCTCCTCCATCTTCACCCTCAGGACTTAAGCCCAATAATATTTATACAGAAAGTGAGCAGCAGATGCTTATTAAACTGAAATAAATATGGCTTTAGGTAGTTGTTTATAGTGTTGTTCAATGAAAATGTTTTGACTCCCAATTCAATATTTTTTTCATCAAGTACCCAAACAAGAGCTGCTTATCCAAGATATGACAAATGCCAGGGTCCTTTTTACCTAACAGCACTCCCATTCTTGCAAATGTCTGCAAAGATCAGTACATATCTTAAGGGGTCAGGCTGCCGACATGAATGGAAAGCTTACAATGCTGGACTGGATCCCTAAGGGACCATCTTGAGTCTTTGTCATGTTTTTGGAAGTTTGGAGCAAGGGTTCTTTAGAAGATGGCAGTCCCTAAGGTCTGCTATGCCCCATCATTATCTCCCGTAGTCTGAAAGAACAAATGTTTGCCTTTGCACTTCAAACTGGGCATGTGTATGTGTATATGTCCCAGCTGGATGCAAAGACTTTCCTAAGGGCACGTGAAAAATCAACGGGTAACTGCGTAATTTTCTAGTGTTCTTTTAGGCTGTCCTTTTCCATCTGTTCTTTCACTGTACAACACAAAAGCATACTCCTCTCCTGTAACAAATTTTACTGTGGTTCATTACTCAAGTGTAAGACAACTTTCAAGTTTCAAACTCTGGAGAGGAAGGAAGTCAGCTGAGAACAAAGCAGATCTGTTTATGTCTTTCATCAACTTTGGGACATTTTCAACATTTGTTTTTTCAAAAAAAATTTTTTAGGCCATTTTTTACCTTTTCTTCCTGGGATTCAAAATATATGTATTTTGTACTATTAGATACTGTCCCACAAGTCCCTGAGATCTATTCATTTTTTCCTCCTAGTATTTTATCTCTGTTCTTCAACTTTGATAATATCTATGGACTTATTTTGAACTTCACTGACTCTTTCCTTTGCCATCTTGGTTCTGTTATTGAGCCCATCTAATATAATTATTTTTTAAAATTTCAGCTGCTTTATTTTTAAGTTCTAGAATTTCTAGTTCTTTTTTTTAAAAAAACAATTTCTACTTTTTTTGGCTGAGATTTTTCTAGTTTTTATTCATCCACATTCTTGAGCATAGTTGAAATAGCTAATTTAAATTTTTTGTCTGCTAATATTAATGTCTAGGTCATCTCAGGGTCTGTTTCAATTGTGTTTTCCCTTAAGAATGTGTCATATTTTCTAAATTTTTTGTATGTCTGATAATTTTGGATTGAATTCTGAATATTATAAATGTTATATTGTAAATCCTACATTCTGTTATATTCCTTTGAAATTTTCTGATTTTTGGGGTTTTCTTGTTTGTTTGTTTTAGTAGGCACTTAATTTGACTAAATCCAAAGTACAAATTCCCTGTGATGGTAGTATCTGAAATTTCAATTTAGTTATTTTAGACTTAACTATGCTCATGGAGTGCTTTGCACACACATAGTTATGGGGTCAGCTAAGGAATGGACATAAGTATAAACACAGAATTTGAGGCCCCTTCTGTCTCTTTTTTCTGAGATTTTTACTCCTTTCCTTTTGGGGAGCTGTGGTTGCCCTAAATTCTGTCTTTTAGTTTTTCAAGTCAGTAAAATTGACTTGAAAATTTACTTGTCAGTAAAAATTTTTTACCAGAATTTTAGGTGTTCTGAAAAGGGGTAAAAGCAATAAAACAATGGGAACTCTGTCCACAGCTATGCCTATTTTCAAGGGTCCTCTTTTTTCTAGTGTCTACTGCTTCATTCTCTCTCCAGGGTCTTCAGGTAATTTCTTTTTATATTTTGTCCAGAGTTTGAAATTTTTATCTGTGAGAGATTTTGCCAGATAGGAACTACTTAGCATCACCATCTTGCTTTTCATCAGTTTAGATAATAAACTACTGTAATATATACTCTGTAACATCATATGAAAATTTGGGAGAGTGATTTTGATCATATGAAAATTTTATTTTTATAGGCTAACATCAATACCAACACCTCTATAGGATACAGTTCTACTATTTTGTTTCTTTCTGTAGATCTTTACTTTCAAGTAAAATAATTAGTTAATTTTCAAGCAAACTTTATATTCTTCAAATTTGTTTCTGCATTAAGCATTAGATTATTTCATACTTTTAGGAAAGCCATTTGTTTCAGTGACATATCAAAGCACTGAACTGCAGTCCAAATGTGGAGAGATCATGGGGAGAAACAAAAACATTTCTCTGGAATGTGGTATATTTCAAAGGTAACATATATCAGATCTAGTCCATCATATCCTGAACTTCTCCAGATGTCAGTGAAGATTTTTACTTTATTGTTTTCATCCTAGGTTTTTCTTGTCTAAAATGTGTGTGTTTTTCAGATTAGCATTTACCTTGCTCCAGTCAAAGTAGTGTACCTTTATCTCCTGAATCATTTTTTATTTATAAATGATACTTCTAAGGATTCAAGTTTTCTTTTTCATCCTAGTGGGTAATTCTTGATTATTGGTTTTTTCAGGGCAATTCCTCTTTAGAACTTTTTTGGGGAGCTACAGCAGGGCTACTCCAGAGAACTGTCTTGTGTCCTTCAAGGCTGTCTCAGGCTGCTGTGTGTATTAAGACATACTGGAAAAGGCTTCTTCCAGTTTCTCCAGGGAAACATGCCATGCAGGGCCCAGGGACAATAAAAGAGGAATTTTATACTTCAGAATCAGTGTGAGGTTTTCCTTTCAAAAAGGAGTCAAGCCTCATAGGAGCAGTGCAGTCTCCTCTGAATAACTGCCTGGATTAGGACATGGTCCATGTTGTACCACACCTACATAGAGCACCATAGAACATAAGGAAGACAGTGAGAACTGGGCTATTCTGTCAGAATAGGCTTCACTGAAACCATTCAGAAGAATTAGGAGACAGGAAGGACAGTGACTGACAATAAGGTGGAAAAGAAAATACTCATGGGAGAGAGGTAGGTTAGTAATGCCACAGAGGCGTTAATAGGTTGGCCAAAGACGTAGGTTAACAAAAGCCAGAGCAAAGAGGAACATAATCTTCTAGTTGATTTTGTTGGTATCTGACAAATCTCTGGACCAATAACATTTTTGCTCATTTGTAAATATTCCAGGGAGAACTGGCCAACCTGTAAGATATCTCGACAATGTACTGGCCAGCACTGTGCCTATAGGTTGTTCTGCATCTTGTATTTCAGTGATGCTTGTGTCATTTTTGCCTTATCTGGGCACAGACTTTTGGGAAATGGAGGTTGCATCTCCATTATCTTCCTGGAAGTGTTTGGAACTGGAGAGGGCAATCTTGCTGAGAGTAATTACTTTTATATGCCTACAAGATAGGATGGATCAAATGAGACTGACATTCAATTAGTTTGGCAATTTTTCCAGACCTCCTATCTCAAAGTGAGAGGGAAATTTTGATATGTGGAAAAACAGAAATGACATGTGGCTTGCCTTTTATTGTCTAATTGCACATCTTACAAGTTTGAAAGTGCCCTTTAGTCTACTCCTTGACATTAAAGCTAGTGCGAATGGGCATGGCTTATTTATAGGAAAATGAGTTGTTGAAAGCAGTGATGAACCCCTCCAAACATATCCAGTTCAAATGCAAATAATGGAAGAATCTATAGCGGTGCTTCTTAAATTTTAGCATGCATCAGAATGACTGGGGGAGCTTGTTAAAACAGATTCATTAGTCCCAGTCTTAGAGGTTTGGATTCAGAAGGTGTGGTGTGGGGCTCGAGAGTCTATATTTCTAACAAGAAGCCTGACGATGCTGGTGTAGACCACACTTTGAACAGATTCAGGATACAGAGTTTTCTCAGTACCTGCCACTTATTTTGGTTACTTGCTGGCCTTCCGTTAATAATGCTAAATAACAAAAGGCACAGCTTCCTGTTCCAGTAAATTCATGATGCAATGAGAAACATGTTAACTTCAATTGACATATATTTCAAAACCTCATAAGGAAGAATTTCAGACTTTTTTGTCAAGATGCCAGTGCCGTTGAAAAACTAAGGGGCAAAAAGGGCCTCAGTTCACCTTTCTCATTGCCATGAAAACTATAAACTTGTACAGTCTTTACAGCTAGCTGAATGAAAGAGAAAATTCCTCCCATCAGAAAGTCAGCATTAACTTTATAGGAAAGTACTGCAGTCTTTCTCCAGAGGAATTTAAGATTGTAATATTTTAATTTAACATGAGTCTGTCATGATATCTTGAGATGATTCCTGAGAACGTCTCAGAACAAATGAGCTTGAATTTGTGGAACTGCATAGTTGTGATTCTGTGTGTTTCAGAAAAACAAAACGAATGAAACAAAATGAAATGAAACGAAATGAAATGAAACGAAACAAGACACCAGAGAAAGAAGTCTCACCTTGGATAAATAGACCGGAAGATGATCCGGATATTGGCAAAGGAAGCACTTTGGAAGTGTTAAGAAAATAATGCCAGAGCAAGCAGTAGAGTGGGATAGGCACAATTCCAACTGATTTTTAAGAAAAACTTGTTAGAAATGCGGCAAACGAATACAAATTAACCATTTATTACTCTCAGGGGTCTTTCTCTACATGACAGGGTGAGGGTATTATTATATTACTTTTCTTTGGGGATTCTCAAGCATGACTGATTTTGTTTTACATTTTCAGACCATAGCCCTTTTAGTTATTTATGATTTACAAACCTCTGTATATGTGTATTCTCCATTCACACGTAGTCCTTTGTAGATTTAAGCAGTGTTTTACAAATGCTATGAGTTTCCACATCTCTGTTCTGGGACACAGCAATGAAGCTGGGCGCCTCAGCTAGAAACTGGCAAGTGCTAAAGGCATAATGATAATCCCGACAGCTATAATATAATAATGATAGCTAACCTTGGAGAACTGTTACATGCCAGACCTCATTTTGTGGATTTTGGGTACATTGGTTTCTCACAAACAACTGTACGAGGAAGGTGCTACAATTATCTCCATTTTACGCTTTAGGAAAGTGAGGCACAGTGAGGTTAAGTAACTTGCTCAAGATTACAGATTTCTCTGTAAGTAGAGCACAAGGATTTGAGATCCTGTAGTTCAGCAAGAGCAACGCTGCAGTATTTGGAGCAATCCCTCTAAGCACAGTAAGTATCAGAGGGACTGTTGCTCCATAGATTTCTAACAATGAACCAACATACTCTAAAGGAGTATACAAAACCTCTAGCATCCCTGTTGGAAGCTCTTTGAGAATGAAAATGAATCTATAACAAGTTCTGCACCAAATTCGTGACAGCTTTCTAAAATCAAGGAAAGGTAGCTGCAATGTTGAGGTGGAGTCTTGCTATATAAACCATGGCACAAGAAACCACATGTAAGTCACTGATTTCATGGGCAGAGGTACCACCCAGCTTGGCCAGATGAGAGAAACTGGAGACTGAGTTGATGTTTATATCCTTTTAGGGACACATTCTCCTTCAAGTCCATATGGGGATGTGATCAACTATAAATAATAACTTTAAAAAGGAATAAAGAAACCCCCTATACCTTTATGCATTGCATGATCTCTGTTAAAAGGTCATTTGTTGGTTTTGACATGCAAATAAAGTGAAGTAGCATAAATGACCAGGGGCAGGATACCTCATTATCACATCTTGGCATGATTCTGTCTGCACTGCCCCTCAAATCCATAGTACACTTTTGTTCTCAATCTAATTTTTTCTATAGGTTGCTGAAATAGATAATTCCAATATTGTTTTTTTCTTCCATTGAGCTCTCATCTTAAAAACTCTGCTGTTTCTGTTAATTCCCTCACATTGGTATGTTCTCCCTTGCAGCGGCCTCCTAGGCTAGGTAGGAATCCAGCTTACACCTGGGCTTTCCCACCTCTAGCACCTTGGTTCTCAGCACTTTCTAAGATGGTCCTGCCTAGGCTGGAGCTCTGACATGGCCTGGTGGTTCAATTGTTCTGAATAAACAGGTTAGAAAAAAATTCATGTTGTTTTCCAGAATTGGTACTCATTTGACTTTACTCATATAAGAAGCTATACAGAAAATGTGAATGAATTGTTTCAGCTTTTAAGGTGCAAAGTGCTCAGGTTCCCAGTAAAAACTAATCTCCTGGTATTGTCCCTTTCAGACCCAGATAAGAAGTTTAGAGAGAAATTTACTTCTAAAGAATGAGAAGTATCCTGGCAGCCTCCTTTAGATGCAGCAAGAACAATGCTTTTAATTCTGCCTCCTGACTCTCTCTACATGAAGATCATGGAGTGAGCAGGCAGAACAAAAAAATATATAAAATTTTAGATATTATGGAAATGAAATGCTCAAATGACACAAATGACAATGGGCAATTTTCACATCACTCAATAAACTGAGGATGTAGTCAGCCCTTATTTATGCCATGAAGTATTCTGAATTTAACTTTTAAAAAAAAGAATGTGAAGGAATAAGATTCTCACCCTTGGCCATACAGGAGAGAACATGCCTAACAAAAAACTATCCAGGGCAGAAACAAACTACTTTAATGAGAAAGGGACCACAAACCCACAGGGATTCTCCACTGAGGAGTAAGGACACTGTGGGTCTTTTTTTTTTTTTGCCCTCAACAAAATGAAAAGAGAAGATTCTTATAGAAGGAGTGACATAGCATTTGGGATGAGGTAGCCTTCTTCTTCAAGAAATAACTTTTTATTTTTAATATATTCCCAGGTGCATTGGGAAGGAAAATCATTTTGGTTCTTAACTGCTGATTCAGTGACCCAAGAATTGGGTCAAAATGAAAAATAAATAAATAAATAAATAACCCACACCTCTGTCTTTAGTTTGATTAAGAGAGAAACTGTCTTTAAAAATTATGTATTCTGTTGTTTTGTTTTTTAAGGAAACACATGCCTGAATCACTGATAGATGAAGTGCTAATGGGTATGCTTTTATTTAATTTATGACTGTGGTTATTGTTTATATGTTAGTTGCAATTTCAATAAATATTTATAGATTGACAATGTCTAATAACTTCTGTTTTCCAAAAATTTCTTCAGCTGTTTGTGTCTTCTTTTTCGGTTTTCTCTTTCTTGCCTCTACTTTTCTTGGCTAGGAACAACCTTAATCTAATGTTTTCTGGAATGTCAGTTTTTCAAGAAAAATGCAATATTTCAAATAATTCATTTAAAGTAATTTTAAATATATTATTTTGCGTGTCACTTAGTAATGTTGATGACATGACTCTCAGCCTTTGGATGCTATTTTGTCTGTCTCTTTAGAAGTGGAGAACTCTATTCCTAGGAATGATGGGGCTTCAAAATAGCAGTTAAACCTTTTCTAGTTCTTGTTTATTCCCTGTGTATTTAAATCTATTATGGCAGGGAAAATGTCTTCTTTCTTAAGACCTGAATTTACAGTTTCAGCTGTAATCCAATTTAATCACCTTTTGCATGGGAAAAGGCACTCAAGAAATTGGGCTTCTATGAATACATTTATGACAGAATATGCATTTGTCAAGGTGAGACACAACACAAGTTTAGCCATATGTGTCTCTCTTGGTGACAGTACCTAAGCATTTTTAAAGATGAATAACACGTAAAATATGTTTACTTGAGAGTTATTTCCTGCCCTTTCTTGAACTGATTTTGTTTGCCTAGAGAGAACAGCCACACGTTGTCATATATGAAGAGTTCGATAAGAGATTTAACAAAATGCCTTATTGGAAAACAATAACTGTGTACAAATAGAGAAAGTACTGAAAAAAAAAAAAGCCTAGTTTCTCTCCTCTGAGTGAATTGTATGCTTCACAATTTACAAACATGAATTAATTTTTGTCATTGTAGTTATTTGGTTTTAGTCTATACTGTTTATATGTATTCGGTGACAGGCATGTGTTTCCAGAGGTTTGAAATTGTGAAAGAGGGCACAATGTGTTCTCACATTATGACATTGCCTCATTTACTGTTGTAAGTGGCTTATTATTCATGGCTTGTTTTATTTTGTCTAATTGCAGAGGAAAGGGGCCTTCTCTTTTAGGCACACGGAGAAAAATATTCTGACTTTTTCTCCTTTGTTTTCCATGAAAAAAAAAAAAACACCCACAGTTTGAAATAGTTAAAAAATGACTAAACCCAGTATATGTGGTTGTAAGACACAGGAAGCTGTTTCCATGTGAGGGTTGGCTCATTGCTAGGAATGATGAAGAAAATGTCATAAATAGATATTTTTTCAGAATAGTATGAATTCAGTTCAGCCTGAATACTAAAATTTGAATTTTGAGTGGTCAATAAATACTTGATTGGTTGGGTGAGATTCTATCTTTCAAGTGTTTTATAGTTTTTCCCTAGGAAGTTTGTTCTTGTATAGCTAAAACTATCTAGCCTGTTGGATTAAAAATATATTGATTTGGAGAACCAGGTGCTATGTCACACAGATAAGCTTCTTTCTTTTATCTCAAACTTGCTTTCAGAATGCCTACTGTGTGTGGCAGAATCAGCCTCATTCCTCCATACCCAAAAGAAAGCTTCCTGTTAATTTCTTGGAGTCTCTCAAGCTGACATTCACATTTTCCCAGGAAATCAGGTGCTTGGTGGCAGAGCCAGGTCCTTGGACATCTGCTTCTAGGATCTATTCCTAGGCCATAGAGGAGCTGCAAGGCAGATATGGGCAAACTTGGCAGTAGCTGGGGGACAACTTGTGTACTGAGGCTGGCAGAGGGCTGAGCATGTCTACTTCCTATGAAAGTGGCAACATCCAGCAGTAATAAAGAATGTGATTGTTAAGAGCAATGAATAGAGTAACAGATTTGTTGGAAAAGTCCAAGTACAGAGACCTAGGGAGCTAGCCGCAAGTCAAGGGTTGACAGCAACGCTCGTGAGCAATCACTTGCAGTATTATGCCCTTGGGAGATTTTAAAAGCTTTATTCTTTGGCACTCTAGGAAAGCCCCTTAGAAGTAAGCAGGACAGTTTTTGTTATTCTCATTTGATGCATAAGGTTAAATGGCTTCTATAATTTAGTAGCTAACTAGTAAAAAGCCTGAATTTAGACTATTTCACGAAGATAACAGATTTAGCAAGACCTCACAGTGGATGAGAAGCCTCCTTTACATTACCAGCTGCGGGCCAGGCTGGAGGCATGAGATACAGGCACAAGACCCCCAGAAGAGAAATGAGAAAGCGTCTATTCAATACTTTCCAATACTTCATAATTTGACTGAGCGTGCTCCCAGGTCAACGTGGCTGCTTATTCAAAAACTGAGTGCCATTTCCAAGCCTACTCCCTATAGACACTAGCTCTCTCAGAGTTTTCACCCTTAATGGGAAATGGAAAGCCAAAAATTTGTCTATTCTTTTTGACTATTCTCTGTAGAGAGATGCTTAGTTAATGGCTTTTACATCTGTTTTAAATTCAGTGGGGGGCAGCTTCTTTAATTAATTATAGGGGGCATGTCCAATTATGGAATTACGGAATGACTGAGCCCATTTCTTTAAGAACACATCTACCTAAGGAAATAAATGAAGACAATCAATAGTACAAAGTGGTATAGAAGAGGAAGACTGGCTTATGTGCTTGAATCCCATCTCTAAGTGTTGATGGTATGGAGGACAATTGTCTTCACCGAGCCTCAGTTTCCTCAGCTTTAAAATAGGGATAATATCCACCTTTCACTGGGATATAGTGGGGGCTAAATTAAATAAGACAAATTTTATTTAATTAGCTGACATTAAAAAATAAAACTCATCAAGCTAAACCCATTTGGTCACATTATTCTGCAGGTGAGTAGACAGGGCTTTGTCTTCGATAACAGATGCCAGGGCTTTAAATATTGGATCATAATGCCTTTCTGGCTATATTCATACTGTAAAATTTATTAACACTGTGATCCATTAGAAGCCAAATTAAGCTGCTTTCCCATGCCATGCCACTGTCACACAGGATGCATGCTCTGGGCAGATTTCACGCATTTTTGTTATTGGGCTGGCAGAACTGTCAAATGCCGGTTTTGAAAGATGAGGCTATCTACAGATGCTTGCATAACACAGTTAAGCAGAGAAACAAAAATGAAAATTTCCCTTGGCCATTCACTGGGAGCTAGACAGTTTCTGTCTGTGCTTCCAGATGTACTTTCCACCCTTCTCCCACTGCTCTGGGCCCACAGAAATGGATCTGTGCATCTCCATCAGGGCTTGCTTGCCCTCTGGTTTCCAGTTGAGCTCAGTTAATGGAGACCATTGGCAGAGACTGGGAGAGGAGAGTGAGTGAATGAGGGATATTCGTTTCTCCACTTCCTTTTGTGGGGTTGCCGCAAGCTAGCTGTGTCCCAAGACAGAAGTCCTGAATATCTACAGGGCAGCCTTCACCACACCACCTCTCTCTCTTTAGGTTCCTATGTCTTCCTTCTATTTGTCCAGTCAGGCCTAGGGGTGGTAATATCACCACTTTCACTAGACCCCAGTGTACTGGCCATATATTTGATTAGGATGAAACACATGGATTCATCAATTTTGCAAAACACAAATGATCAAATATTGGCAATTTCATATTTGATCTAGTAAACAATTACATTATTAAACTGTTTCAATCATTTAATAGAATTGTCCATTAAACGAATAAGGAAAAGGCTTTTTCAAATTAGGGAAGGCGGCTTTGCAAAGGAGATGGCAGAGAAACATTTGTCGATATTTTTGAGATGAAAATTCTTAGGGAAAAAATGACTATTAAATAATAGAAACTGTGATTATAAATTATTTAAATACCGGAGTGATACATAAAAATTTCTGTAAAGTAAGTGGTTACTTGGGATCAAAGCACCAAAGTGATTTAATTTTTTAAAAAATCAGTCTGATAGATTTGGAAACCAAATCAACAAGTTCAGTGTTGTTAATTCCTCACTGATTTGTTATCAGACACATAACATGGAATGCAAAGGAAAGAACAAACACTAAGAGTAAGGACATGTGGATTTGAGTCCTTGTTCTCCTCTCCCACCAGTTACATGATTTGGGGTAAATCACTTTGCCTTTTTATCCCCAGGTTTCTGATCTGTAAAATAAGGAGTAAGGAATAAAAACCTCCAAATCCCTTTAGTTCTGATTTTTGTTAGTTTACAATATCAGGGACTGATATCAATGAACCTGCAAAGCCTCAGAGTGCTTCTCCTCTGCATTCCTTTGCCAGCTCATTTGCTTCACCCAGAAGTTGGCCAATGATTTCCAAAGTTGGCAGTACAGGGATATATTCTTTGGCTCTACCTCAAACCTACTGAATCTCTACCATCATATGGACAGTAGCTATCTCATATTTACAAAATTTGCCCAGTTGATTTTCAAGTATGGCCAGGTTTGGTAACTACTGTGAAAAACATTCTCTTAGAAATCTAACGAGAGAAGGTTGAAGGCAATGTTGAGTTATTCTGAATAGCTGTCAGGGCAATTCTGGTAGAAGAAATCCAGAATGGTTCTCAATAGTAGAGCCAAATGATTTCAGCTCTCCTCTTCTCTCTAATACTCAAGTAGGAGGAGGACACCTATCAGATTTGCTTGTTGCACTGGTGTATGTGAGCATGAATTTCATGGATGTCCTATTGTTGCCCCAATTTTTATGTTCCCTTATTTCACTAAAACCTTTTTCAAAGCATGCAGACATAGATCATGAGAATATTTATATGGCTCATTAGGTGACTGGGCCAAGCCCAGCCTGGTACCAGAATGATGAGGAGATCAGTATTTAACCATTAGTGTCACACTAGGGTCATTGGGAAGCGCTACCTTAGTGCCCCTGGTAATGTTCACAAGGCATACTCAGTACATTTACCATAGATGTTAATAAATCACCGATTAGTCATAAAAACTCATGATATGTTGTATGATTCTTATTTGCTTACAATTCAATCATTACAAGCCCTATACTATAGCATGCAACAATTATTTCCAAGAATTACATAGGAATGGTACACCTTGCTTAATGCAAAACTAGACTGTAGAAGTAAATATGATTACACATGTAAATGTAAACATCTATTTAAGTCAAACATTAACACTCTATTTGCTATTTACATTCCAGCCTTTAAAATAAAAGTGAAAACAAAACCATGCTGTGCTTACCGGGTCCCTTCGCACAAGATTTCCATTGGGTACTACCACAAGCAGGTGGACGATGATAATGATGGAATTCATAACGTAAGTCACAAACAAGTGCTTATGCAGGGTTACCCTTTGGCAGCCAAGTCTCCTGGAAGGAAAAGTACCAGAAAGCATTAGCTAGTGCCAAAATGTTGAAGTACCCGGAAAAAAACCATTTCGTTAATATCTTTCATGTTTTCTTTAGCAACAGAAACATATAGAAATAAGTGAGGCAGGTTTCATCTTTCAGTACTGCTTTTCTGCCTAACATTTTAAAACAGCTTTAAAAACAGTTTTCCAGTCACGACAGCTCATAGTCTTTGGTCCTCAGGGTGACTTCATATGATAACAGAAAGAGTGAGTGATAAAATCATTTTAAATTATAACAAATGATGTAGAATTAATTAAGAGAAGGGCTCTTAGAAGAGAACCATTAGGGTTTGGAGTGTGCTTATAATGAAAAGTCTACTGTTCATTGTTGCAACCAGGCAGAAAATATGTGGCTAATAGGGTCACAGAACCAAGGCCGCCAGTGACAAGGTATTGAATGCATGTCCTTGAGCCATTACATACACAGGCTTCAGGTCTCCCATCATTCTTCTCTTCCATTATTTCTTTTAACATCTTCTTAGATCTCATATTCCAACTGGAATCGTCATTGTAATCCTTCTTTTCCACCCCCTCCAGATGGTTGAGCTCAGACACAGGCAGAGAATTTTAAATAGGCTCAAATTCAGTCTCATTATGAGACATATTGTGGTTTGGATCCCATGAGACCAATCCAAGTGCTGCTGCTTCTAGGTATGGTCATTTCCCACCTTTTGGGTACTAAGTAAGTTGGTGGGGTTTTTGTTCCTTTCTCCTCCACTGTGTAAACTTGTACATTAATGCATTGGTGTGAATGTGCACATAGACAAATGCTAGTTTGAATGTCTTATTTTACTTTTTTGATGCAATGGAGAAAGCTTGCATCACGTCTATAACAAAACTGGAATTATTATTCTGGACAAATAAAAATCTTGTATTTACCATATTTGATCCAGTTAAAAAATGTTAGTATGATGTCATTCACCATGCAAAAGGTTAAAACAGCAGCTAATGATGTCAATGACTCAACACAGTTAACTATTCCTAAAAAAATCTTCATGGAGTAAAGTAAGGATCCAGGAACTTTGAAAGGGAAATTGTGAGGAAAGATGAAATATGGAAATGGCCTGGGTTTACTGACAATGCTTTCCTGTAATTCCAACTCAAAGGAAAATGAGTTGTCAATTATCTATATTAAAAAACAAATTTAAGTAGTAACAGCATCTGTTAGAGCACATTTTGATTATTCACAGCTACATTTTTCAACTTTTCAGGAAGCATAAACATTAGTAAATAGTTAATAAGTAATATTTTTAAAATCTCAACATGTTGAGCATGGATAAAATGCAGAGTTTATATCCAGGAGGCACCCCCTGCTAAAGATGGGGTTCAGAGAAGAGCTTTCACACATTCAAATACACACATTACTATGCACTACTTTATTTAGAAGTATAGAAATCTTCTAAATAAACCAAACTAATCAGTTTTACAATAGCACTAAAGGTAGGCTTCAAGTTTAAATTTAAATTAAAAGAAAAACTTATTTGTGTAAAACATTCCCACTTATACTGCATAAACTCTTCCACCTCATGACTGCTGCAGTTAGCAGTGTTGAACCCTGTGACCTGTTACTTTCAATGCCGTCACAATAGCATTTTATAATTCTTCTCACTGGGGGATAAATATCTATGGTCTCATTATTCGATTCAGCCTGGTTTAGACTGATGATAATTGACATTATCCATAACTAAGGAATATGAATGAATGTATCATACAGCACTGCTATTCTCATGCCTGCTTTTCTTTTGATTGGTGGAATTCAATCATCTGCTGTGTATAACATTAGCTTAAAGGACTTCGTTAACTTCATTCTCCTGTGCAAACAAAACCACCCTGTAAAATATACTTTCCCCACTTCCAGCTTACCGTAACTCTGGACCTTGTATCCCTGCCCTATTTCTCTTCTTAACACTCATCACCTAGTTTATTGCCTGTTATTTTCTCCTTTCCTCCCACTAAAATGAAAGTGCTAAAGGAATTTATTTTATGCACCTAGAACAATGCCTGACACACCACAGGGCTTAATACTCATTTTGAATTTCAAAATGTATGTAAGAAAAATTTTCTTCTTTGAGCTGTGGTCACTAAGAAATTTTACAGTCCATCAAAGAATTACATTAAATGCTAGATGATTTCATGGTTTATACTTTGCATCATACTGATAATTTGCCAAATTCTTAAATTAGTTATTAACTAATAAATATTGAACACTATCCTGTTTTCGATACTAGCTAACATATATATATAGTACTGTATACATACATATATAAAACATGTATACATTTTTCACTGGGAACATACAGAAAATGGCAGTTTAAAACTAGATAAACTGCTAGCCTCCAAAGGAGAAATATGACTAATATATGAGTTTCTGTTTTGTAAAAGTTTTAATATAATTTTTGTTCATTGAGTTTTCAAAATTTTATTACACCTACTTGATGACATTTACAATCACCTTCTTGAAGTGAGTTAAAAGTACTTTAAATTTATTAAAATTCATTCAATAATCCAACACATATTACTGTGTAATCACTATGATCCAGACCTTCTGGTAGATGCCAGGAATACACTGGAGGAAAAACAGACAGCTTCTGCCTTCAGGAGCTTTATACACTACATAATTGTTTATTTATACTTATTATAATAACTACAGTGGGACTTAACATAAAAGGATTAACTGAATTTAACATAAAAAATTTAACATAAAAATTTAACATAATATAACATAAAAATTTAACATAAAAAATCAATACAAATATCCTGTTGCTTAAATGAACATGAGAGAAGCTGACAACATTTCCATGTCTGATTTGAAATGTCTTAAGTAGAAATTCTTAAACCTGAGGTCAGCTATACTTTATTCCCTTGGTTAAAAAAATACACATTTGGATGAACAGAACATTGCTTGTTATTTGAGTTATGGGAAACCATAAGTACTATAGATTCTTTAATAGTGGGAGGATAAGACAACATAATCTTCTGTCTAGGTCCAACCAAGGTGTCATTCATATATGAGGAGGAGATAATGATTTCCTTGAGGATGAATCTCAAGATGTCATCTTTTAAGGCTAAAGTAAAAAGCCATTTTCTTGGTGGTGGTTTATCTGGTATAAATCTTTCACATTAAAGAATTTGTTTCAAATTATTAGTACCCTACATCTGTATGAGTGTGTACTTTTTGGGAGCTTGTAGTTGTATGAGAAGGCATTTGATATTTGCTTTGAGTTTTGTAGATAGTGTAAATCAGTTTGATATATCACAGGGTGAGAAAATGGAGTCTTCACTCCTCTATAAGACAGCATAATTATAGTCACATTCAAAGCAAATCAGAAGAGTAGCAAATAATGATACAAATAAAAGTGGTTATAAATTTACTGGTACATGGAATAATATAAATTAGGAATCATTTTTGTAATTTACACAAGCTGAATTATATCTCCCAGTTCACCTTTAAGTTTTCCTTTACTTAGGTAACATACACTGTTCATGACAGACATGAGAACTGAGGGGAAGAGAGGGAATGATCTGAAATTGATTACATTAAAACTTCTAGAAAAATTCAAAGCACAATATATCATATCTTTTCTATTTGACATGGGACTTTATACCTTTGGATTTAGCACAAAATCCTTATCCTCAAGAAATTCCCTTTCAATCAAAAGTCTTGCTTATCTCCTATTATTACTGCTCTCTATAAAGGTGAACAGTATGCCATGGTATGACCAACAGTTATCTTTGATGTCTGTCATGTCATGTCAGTGGTGGATTGGAAGATAAAAGGCCATCTTTCATACAATTGATTGAGTGGTTTCCCTGGAGGAACAGGAAGGCTGCCAAAGATGTATAATGGTGGATACTGCATAAGATAAAAATTCATGTATCCATCCAATATGCAGATGTGACACAGAATAATAGGAATACTAAGTAGCAGAGGAATCAGCATTCCTTCTGGATTCCCCAGTGGAAGCTTTCTTTCTTGACCTCCACAATTACCTATGTATACTTTTTGTCAATGTGGCCAACATAATGTAATGAAATGTAGACAATATAATGATGCAATGAAGACACTCCCTGTTTTCCAACATATATTTCAATTAACTTTTAGGCAAGAGTAATAAATATTTAACATATTACCAATCAGAAAGGCATGGGTACTAATCAGTCAAAATAAATGTTAATGAATATTCTGTTGTGTTTTTCTTGATAGAATATAGTGAGACATTTAAGTATTTTGGATTGGTCTATAGAAATGCAAATTGATAAATTGTAAGTGGAACTTATAGGATAAATGAATTTATTGCAAGCTTTCTGAAAATGGTCAAGAACCAAACTCAAATAAATGCCCACATATGTGACTTTACCAAACAAGTCTTCCCTTGGGTATCTTCATTTTATCTCTATTCTTGACATTTACTATTGGCATCTAGTAGTGAGAGAGCTTGCTGAACTAATTTGATGTTTATATTTAATTCCTATCCATATTATTATTGCTCCTAACTATTTTTCCTGCACATAAATTCTAAACCAAATAAGGTGGTCTGCTATCTTTAATTGGCGGACCAGAAATGACTAGCATATCATCTTGAACGTTACTTAAATTTTTCGGTTTCTGTCTTCTCATTATTAGATTAGGATTATAAATCAATAAGACTTGTTTTCCTTCCCCAGGTTTAAGTTGCAGTTTGGTGGGTTCTTGGAGTTGAGAGATAGTAGGACAAAGTCAGATGCTTTTAGATAATCTTCTCCCACATTCTCTCAAGGGTTTAATCAGAATCATTTTGTTTTGGGACTAAATGGAGTAGAAAAATATTTTACTTTGCCCACACTTTTGCACACCCATCTTTGGTGGCTTACTACAGAAATGAGAGTTGAAAGAACATTTGTAGTTTTTTACTGATTTGGCTCCCACATCTCATCATTTATTTAAGGGACTAGAGAAATAAGGAACTAAGAAATACCCTTTGATGGTTTTTAACCTTTAAAGTCCTGACTACTAATTTAGTTGCATGATTACAAATTTGGGGGATTTTTTTTATGATTATATTTTTTAAAACTTTAAAAAATAGACTTTTAGTGACAGACTTTTTAATCAAAATTGTATGAGAGCCCTGGTGTTGTACTTATACACCATGGTGAAGGGCAATTGACAAATGAATAGACACATTCCAAGATTAATCATGTTGCATGATTACTCTGCTGCATTCTGATCATTATAATTGAAAATACTCTTCTAATTCTAGTAATTAATATCTCATGTCTTGTTGCTTTGCTTATCATTCTTTTCTCATGTTAAGCTGTTTATGGAAGGAGCTTACTTTCTGTTTATTTATGTTATCATTTGCTATTCAGTTAAAAACATTGCTATTCATTTATATTGCTTATTCAATATAAGAATCTTAACCTAAGATATAGACAAAGATTAAAAAATGATCAAGGAAAAAATAATAGTAGTTGTGCTAAGGATGTGTTTATAGGTGATTATTCTCCCCTTGGTTTTTCTTTAGTGCTACCATGATAATATTTCAACAAAAATCAAATTAAGATTCTGTTATTCTGTTTTTTAAATTTATTTTTTATTGAGGTAAAGTACACATATATAATTTACCATCTTTACCATTTTAAACATATAGTTCAGTGGTAATAAATATATTTATATTCTTTTTTTCCCCTTCGCTCTATATATGAACCATTGTCTATTTAATTACATACCACATCTTTTAAGTGTGGAGGATTATTTGTCATCTGAGCTTACAAAAGATCTTTTCTTTATCATTTGTATAATATTACCATGAACATTATTACTACCAATGATAATAATTATAATAATAGCAATAACAATATCAAACACTTATATTTTACTTATTATGTGTCAGATATTAAATCCAGGTACTTTACATGTATTATTTCATTTCTATTTAATTTTCTATTTAATCTATTTCAGCTTCTAACATATTTACTGAGTTGTGATACATCTATAAAAAATACACACATGGCTTACTCTACAATAATAATAATTTTCTGAAGTACATTTGGGAATATACTCCAGAAATCCAGTTTAGGGCTATGTTATGAGTGCTTTATTTTCACTAACATTTGTTGTGATCAAGGTATATATAACAGTTTCTAATTTATATGTATAAGTATCTGTAAAGATCCTACTTTACAATCATCTAAAGATGACATATTTTAAAGTATTCAAGTTGTTTCTTATATATTTTCTAATATTTTTTTCTAGCATAGTTGTGTATGATAAAACCTAAAGGCAAGCATCATTTAAATTAAGTTTTTTAGAGACATGCTCTGTGTGAGTGTTTATTTCTTATTCTTACATATGCTAACAAGTCTCCAAAATGTATTCTTTTAGCCACATTTTGAAGAATAGAGTACCAAGATTTTTCCTAGTCAATCTCATTCTCCCTAACAAAATGTAGAAAATCCAAATTATAGGAGAAGCACCATGTAAAAGTATAAGTGAATATAGAGATACCATGCCAATAGAGAAGTTAGACTTCTCATGAAAGGGTAATTTAGTGCCTCATACCTTTGATTTAAAGAAATGGCATCAAATTTAGGAAATATATCAATACAACCATATGCCACTGTCTCACATACATTATGAAATCATTCCTGAAAATAACAGAATCAACATTTTAAATTCTCCATTATTATTAAATTAGTAACTATATAAGCTTAATCATTTTGCCACAGATAATGCAATCAAGTGTATAGACACAGCCTCAGAATAAAAACCCTCACTGGAATTTTATTTCTCATAGTGTCTTAGAAGATAATTGCAGTTAAAATTGCTAGGTTTGTAAGGGCAAAGAATTGACATAGGACAATGGCCATCTTTTTCCAGAGATTCTTCTTAATCTTGGTTGAATGAGACAAGGGCAGAAGAGAGACTCCGGACTTAACCTTTCTTCCCTGGTTAACCACTATCATGGCTTCACCAGCCCCTTTCCTCTTCTAGCGAAATCCATTTGTAATTCAGCTCATAATTAGGCAGGGTACATTTGAACTTGTGGCTATGGCCTCCAAATTTTAGAGTGTGGATAAAAGAAGGTGGAGGATCCTCCCCACAATACTTAAAGGAGCACTATCCACGGTGATGGTAAATGAAACATTTACCATATTCCCAATGTATTTATGGGCTCACAAGACTGTCTTATTTTTGGAAGAAGGTATATTGGCTTTGAAAATGTTCCATCGTGTTCTCATCAAAAATAGGGTTAAAAAGCATACTTTTGGCTCATTTCATTTTTCTTGCTACTTCATGACTCCTAATGTTGCATGTCTTTTGTAACTTGTAGAATTTCCACCCTTGCTCTTGCAGAATTTACCATTTATTTCAGTAACTTAAAGGAGAAAATAAAAAGCAGATGTCATAAATGTACTTACTTGAAATAGAAGAAAACCCCCAGGGCAGCTATTAAGGTGATAATCGACAAAGAATGACCCACCAGAGCCAAATAGTACAGAATGTATGCATTCTGGAACAAAAGAAAAGTTAGAAAAACAAATGAATGATTATAGAAGTGGAAAAATAGTTTCTATTTCTAAATATGAGCATAAATCAACAAAAGTTTTCCTATTTTAAGAAATCTGCTAAAATTATAACAAATATTTCAGAGAATGAAATTTTTTTATCTTTACTTATTTTATGAAAATAAATTGACCTCTTGACCTATTTTCAAAGAATTAGATTCCTTGAGGTGAATTAAATCTCATCCAAAAACATAACTCAGAAGTAGTTTTAAATGCGTTAAAAATTATTATCCCTAGGCGCAGTAAACAATCCAGGAAAGTTTTAACATCTGGTGTCCTTTTATACACAGTAGATATGTCTACCCTAAAGAACTGTCCGAATGATAACCCACTTTCCAAATTGTCCTGACTTTTGGCAGTAGGAATATATAGAGGGAACAGAGACTATGGTGGTAGGTTTCTGTGCTTTTGTTTAATTTAGGATTAAAATGGTGTCACTAATATTTACTTGGTTGAAAAAACCAAAAACTTTATTCTTGACAGACATTTGTTTTTTTTTCCCTCAATCATGGTGAATTTTCTTTCTTTTCTCATAGTGTTGTATTAGTTGATTCAAAAGAATGTCTTTCTTTATAAAATGCATAATATTATAGCACCTTTTTTTCAAGTTATCATACTCTTTCCTTTTCTTACAATATAATTTTACCATTCAGAAAGGAGAGATTGATCCAGTCACCCATTTCTGTTTGCCTCTGTTTCTCTCTTTCTCTCTCTCCACGTTAGCTCTAGCTTTTGCAATTAGTATTATTTAGTCAATTTTGTCAGTTGTAATTGAAGTAGACTTGAAGCCGTTGGAACAGGGGGTTTTATTTTCAGCTGCTGTTTTTCTTAATGAAACATAATTTGTGTATTATTTTGTAGTTGTATTTTTGTCTATTGACTTCTGGTCTTAAGTTTCTTCTATAATTTGTTGGGTCTTGATATGAATGGAAATGTACTATGGAAAAGCTGAATAATTTCTATGAAGTTCTTTGACTTCCTAGGATAAATATGGCATTTTTGTATCCTTGAACATTTTGATTCTTGTAAATTGCCTTGTGAAGAGTCTGGGATTGAAGCACTAATTCAGCTAAAATGCTTTTAAAGTGTGCAAAGCACTTTGTTTATGTGCATTATTGCTGTTTTGAAACAAATAGTCCCTTTCTAGGCCTTAGAATGTCAAAATAGACTAATCAACTTTCCTGAATTATGTCTGTTATATGATTTGACCAGGCTTTACATATTGTTTGGCATTTTCTGGCTTGATACCAGAAAATGATACACTCTCCTACACTCTTGATACACTCTCCTGACAGCATTTTTATCCTTACAGGTAGCAATAATAAAGTTGAAATAGTTGATTTATAACTAGAACTGATAAAATCTTCAGATAGCTTTCTTGGGTGGGATTTAGGAATTAAGAAACAAAAAAATAAAAAACAAGAAACAACGAATACTCCCCTCCTGTCTTTTCTCCCAGGAATTTATTTTCTAGATATTTTTCTAACTTTTCCACTAGACAGGATCAGGAGTAGCATCTTCTAAAAGTTCTTCCTTCTAAATAGTTACTATATAGAATACCCTTGCCACTTAAAGTTCCATATTTAATTGCATGTCCATTCCCCTATCCTCTGTTGGTATTTTTTTTTTATATCTCTGAATACTTTATTTCTATGAAAAGTTCATATAACTTAATGCATATTCTTTCAGTTGCCTTCAGACCACTCTTTTTCTAAAAAACTATTTATTCTTCTGAAATAGAGTTGTTTAAATGTGTAAGATTAAATCAACAGCTCATAATTTAGTTGCCATCCCTGTGTCATTCTCAAGGCTGAGAAGTTCTGTTTTTTCAAAAATAAATTTGAGGTTGGTTTCTTCAAATTTGTTGGTGACTATATTTATATGGAAGACTTGTGGAGGGAATTTGAGTTATTATATTAGGTGGCTAGAGGGGAGCATTTCCTCATAAAATTCTTTACTTTCTTCTCAGATGTGGCCAGGGTGTGTGAGGAGGCCAAACATTGCAACACTGAGAATTATTTATTTGTACTTGCGCTATTTATGACAATTCAGTTAACATGATTATAATATTTTTGTGTAACATCATGATCAGCACTCATTCAGGGAATCCCTTTCTCATTTAAGGAATTTAAATATTAGGCTAAATATTAAAATGACATAATTTGAATCACACTTTATGAAGTAAATAGCTCTCCATCAGGGTGTAGACATGCATGTGACTCTCAGCGGTGACTAAGCAATTTGTGAAGAGGTAACTGGCTTTGGTCCCCTCAGCCTGTGTTTGTGATAAGGTGTCCATAAGGTCTCCAAGCTATCTATTCACTGTGTTTGTTTTGCTGTTGTTTGCTTTGTTTTTAATAAAAGGGAAGTTCTCTATACTCCCAAAGCTTCTCAATAGCAAGCAAAAGCAGGGATGTGCTTTTAGCTTCTAACTTAGTAATTATTTAGTATACCAGCCTATCTTTGAAGGAAATGATTGGTTTATTTTGCAGCCAGCAGAGTTGCTCAGCAATGCCCTGTATAGCTAAATGTTGACCAACTGTTTCTTTCAGCTCTGTGAGGTGAGAAGGCTGGCTGTTGACTTAGTGATCTTTTCAGATTTTCAATGCATCTGAAGAAGAGAGAGTATCTTCTTCTCATGCAACCCCTCCCACCTTAAAAAATGTTTCTGAGCAGAGATCATATTCAAAGTATCTAATAGCCAGAAGGTGCTGGTACTAACCAATAACCCCTGAAAATAATTTAAACAGTCATATCTGGATCAATGGGCCGAGAAGCCCTGCTTTAGGGTTCTGTCAATGCCTGATAGTAAAATGAAGGTCATAGTCAAAACAGAGAAGGCAACTGTTGTTAGCTTGGGAGTTGAAGAAAAATTTGTAATTTCTAACTCTTTCAGAAAAATGGAGGTGTTAGAGAGTCCCTTGAAATGTTGCCCAATTTCTGGAATCCCATCATCTGCTCTACGGACACTATTCCCTTTGGCATCAATGAATGGCCTAATTCCATATGCTCAAGGAATGTCCATTGACACCGAGTGCCAAACAAGAAGTGAAATGTCATTTTCTCTAATGCCATTTTGTAGAGTCCTAGAATTTACAAGTCATCATATGATTTCTTCCCATAAAATCTTTTGGCTTCTTGGTAGCAGATATTTTATAGTTGTGCATCCATTTTCATGTACAAATAATGATATTCTCACCGGATACTGAAATGTGAAATAGAACCTACCTGGATTTTCTCAGGGGTGAAAGAGTTGCACAGAGTATAGTTGGACCAGCTTTCATTGGTTTCAGGATGCTTAAACCAAACACCTGTTTCATCACAGTATCTTGTAACCCTTTCTGTTAACGAAACAACAGTTATTTCATTAATATCTTAAAATCCCAAGAAGAAAAATAATAAATTTAGAGCTTAAAAGCCATTCCAACATGACAATGACTTTATAGAACTTGAATAGACTACTGTGAATCATGCATTTACACAAATTATTTTCATTTTGATTTTTAGGAAACAACTTTCTGATAATGAATAAATGCAAAATGCTGCCATTACAAACCACTTTTTCAAAATGCAAGTGAGCTTAGTATGGTCATCATTGACAAATAGAATTAGCAAAATCACTGACAAATTTTCAATGTCAATTTTTCTGGGCTTATTCGTGCTAACCCTTTTACAAACATTGTGTTCAATGGTGAAACTTTAAATAGAATTTGTCCAATGGCCATCTCAGCAAATTTCATTTAAAATTTTTCTATTTAACTTTGTAATAGATTTACATAAAGCAGCAATTATTCTAATAGGTTGCTTAAAAGCATCTTTACTTGAAAAAGTTTTTTTGTCCATTTAAAATAATTGAAATAATTGTTGGAGTAAACACACAAACAAATATGTAGCTTATAGTTTAAATCTCACATTTAATTCAGTAATATCTGTTTCAGGCACACAATAAAAAATGATGAATTTCACCTAAAAACTGAAAAAAGGATTTTTGTACTAGCTCTTAACAGGTTTACTAACCAAAAACTACTGATGGGAAATTATTTTAAATATTATCAAATATCTGTGATATTTCAGCTAAGTATTTTTTATCAAAAGTTGTTTCCTCGGCCATTAGAACAAGGCAGTGTCCTCCAAATATTAGTACATGATTCTAACTTCTATATTCCTGGGCTAGAAAAGTATATAGCTATATGTAAAAGGGTTATCCATAGTACAACTCTTTGTCTTTGTCAACATAATGTTTTCCCTAAGAAATTATCAAAAATAAAAATTTTGTGAGCATTACAAATATACTGGGAGAATTTCTTTTCGTATTATACCAATCTAGGGTTCCTATTTGATCTCTGAGGCAATAAACACACTGCAGAAGTGCTTTGGAGAACTAGACAATATCTGAATAACTCAGATTAAATTTGGCAAGCACATTGATTTTAATATTTACTTGCTCATTATTGATATTTTATTTAATTCAGTATAATTTTTTCTTCTACCTGCTTATTAGGTGCTTAGCATTTAAGTACTACATTGTAGCCAACATTATGTATAATTCTTTAGGTCAGTGAAATGGAGTGTAGATAACCTTGAACACTTATGGGATTTTACCTTCTGGAGTCCCAGTACCAAATTAAAATACTGAAGACTAATATCATAATAATAAAGTGAATTTTAATGCTATTCAAGTATCATTTCAGTTGTTTGCTAACAATATACTGGTTTTAAAATGTATTTAGCCTGCTGGCAACCAAAGTTGCGTAGCCATGTACGGGAAAATATACAGTGTGCAGAAGGAAAGGTATTCCTCCTGAAGAAGCTCATTCTACTTACAGATAAGACTAGAGAAAATCGTATTTTTTTGTCTTGTTTTAATTAAAGTCTGGATGTAGACATTTCTTGGTTTTAACTGTTGCAACCATCAGTAGTTTGTTGATTTTCACCTGGAAAGTCTTTCAATATTTGAAAACAGGGTTACGTTTTCTGAGTCCCTTTCCAAACTGAACATCCTCAGTGACTCACTCCATGGCTTTTGTTGTCCCTTCATAGCTTGGAGATGCTATGCATGTGCTTTGATATTGATGTTTCTCTCTAAAATACACTAGGTATGGACAGACCTGGGGAAAGTACAGTGTGCTTCTTCACTCTAGACACACATGGAGAAATTTTGTAGATTTTCAGGCCTTATTCCTAGAGATTCAAATTCTACTGATCTGGAGAGGGGTCAGGCATCAGCATTTTTAAAGAGTTCATCAATTCCAAAGGGTATCAAGGTTGAGAATCACTATCTTAAACCATATTTGGACCATCCTGGCTCTGTGCCATTAATGTTGTTCAGTCTTGCTTTTTACATTCTAGCATATTCTTTCACACTGTCAGCCTCTTTTGAATTCCAATAAAGTTATAAAATTCTTCACTTTTTCACTATCTGTTTTTCACCAAGCCCTTTTTTCCAAAATGAAACCTCTGACACTTCTTTAATGTGTTTTGTACATCATGAAGATGTAGCGTTAGGTCAATAACAAAATCCTAAAGAATTTAAGTTTGTCCAATATAGACATTTTAAAGATGTGCTATTAAAGTGGATTTATGTCCCAGCTGAGAGAGTTCTATCTAAAACCAAGGCTGCAAAGATGGATCAATGCCTGAAAACCTGTTTTGCTGATCAAAACCATGCCTTTTAGTCAATATTCATAGCCACTTTGGCAAGAGCCCACTGCTACTTTGGAACTGGCCTAGTAGCCTCAATTGGAGAGCAGCTCTTCCTGCCAATCAAGTTACCTCTAATGTAGTTGCCAAATCAAGATTAATGAGGCATCATTTATTGGGAAGAGTCAATAAAGGCCTAAAGGATTATCATCACATAGCATTTAGTAAGAGTTTCCAGGAATGTAGCTCTGAGTTAAAGCACTGCACAAAGCTCTATCGTTCTTTACATCCCCACTTTTCCATCAAAATGGAAATTCCCAGAAGTGGGGGGCCTGCACTGTTTTGAAAAGAGCCCCACTGTATTCCCACTTCCATTACATCTGCCTCACCGGGGTAGAATTTTAATTTCAGGGACAAATGAGGTCTTACCCTTGAAGGAGGCACAAAAAGGATCTTCCAGACATTGTCTCAGGCATAGACTCATTTCTCTGCTCTAATTGGAATTTCAGAGCCATTTACACAATCTTTGTGGGCCCAGGTTTACTTTACTCTTGGAAGCAAATCTCACCCTTACCAGGGACTTCTGTGCTGTGTCTGTAGCTGATCACATTTAGTTGCAGTATCTGGGCCTCCTTTATAACTAAGATTTATACCTCCTTTTAATCGTTGATTTATGTCAATGGAACAAATTTTCTATATAGTTTCTTGCAACAGAATTTTTCTGGCCCTGCCACCCATAGGTCCTGGGGCTGGGCTTCCACTAGGTTTTACTCCTCTGGGAGCCACCTTCCTCCATTCCCTGCGTCAGTCTCATCTAATATTGTGGTCTGCCTCCCAGTTGCACAGGTGCTTATGCACTTGGCTGAGGCTCCCTGGTACTGATTACCTTCTTATCTAGACTTTCTTCCTTGTTTATTATAGTTTCATCTTGGCTGAAGAGCTTTTAAAAATCCTGGTGTCCAGGTTGTACTCCAAACCAATTAAATCAGAATCTTTGGGCTGGTAACAGGCAACTGGATTTTTTTTTTCTAGTACCTCAGCTTCTCAGCCAAATTGAGACTCATTTGCTTACTATTGGCACCTGCCCAATCCCATGCTCCAGTCCCATATGCCTGCCTAGTCTCTCGATTGAGGCTGTTACACAACTGTATACATTCCTCTGCATTGCTCCTGAGCACTGACATGGGACATCTTCCAGATCTCCAACCTGTTTTAATACCTGACAATCCTAAAATACATAACTTCAGCCCCCTGGTTTCTCACTCCACTTGGAACCTGATACTTCTGGACCTTTATCTTACTGGAGCATCCTAGCCCAACTTCTAACCAGACCAGTGTGACAAAATTGAGACCTGAAGAAATAGCATGTCCTCCCTTGAAGCTTCCTAAGTTTTTCAACTTGCACAAATTTGTATGGAGATTGAAAAATACTATTTCTGAAATAATTTTCTAAACGGTGGACTTAATTATACAGAAAGGGTTAGGTAGGGACTCAAGAGAGTTGGGATCACTTGCAGTTTTTGTCAAATAAGGGAAGTATAAAATGGGATAATATGTATGAAAATATTTTGAAAAGCAAAATGTGATACTTAATGAAAAGCATTCCTATGTACCTTTTATAACTAAAGTGAATTTGGTGCCGCTCATTTACTTAACAGACATTTGTTGATCACTCTTGTGCTGGATACAGAGCTGGGTGTTTTGGCATGATAGATTATCACAGTATTAGTCATACTTAGTAAGCACATTTTAATAATATGCTTTTGGAACAGAAATATGTTGTGCAGAGTTACCACCTTCTGATTTATTTTCCCTTAAATATGTTACTTTTATATAATTTTCAAGGTTATGTAAAATTTCCATTGTACGTGTTACACCCAGTCCAGTATATGCATGTCAACAAATGTGAGACAATTAACAATTAAAAAAAAAACAACACATAGAATTAAAACTATTCAAAGAGTTTGAGAAAAACTGATTTTATAAACCACAATTTAATACCAACATGCACCAATGACCAGCAAGATGAGTTAAAAAAAAATAAGGACAATTTGCAGTATTTGTACAACTGAACAATATTTCAGTTAAGGAAACTTTTCAGCGTGTGTTAAATGTGCAGCATTATTAGGTAGGTATATTTTATATCTGATTTTCTTTTCAGAACCATGAAAACTCTAGAAACTTCATAGCAAAAATATAAAATGAAAAGAAATACTCTACCCGATGGATCGAAGTCTGGAAAATAACCTGGGCAGGACTGAACGCTCGTTTCTCCAGCTGGTGTGTCATCCCAGCACATCCATCCATCCCAGGTGCGGTTGCAATATGGACCTGGCCATTTAGAAAGAAATTGATTTTGAAGCGATGTGGACTTCAATAGGAGATTGACCCCACAACAATCTTACATGTAGCTGAACCTAGTACTCCAGTCATGATCATCTACATTTCAAATGAGATCAAGTCACTTATTTTGGAAGCAAAGTTTCAAATAGCATTGGCATATCTGTGACCTGATTATCTCACTGGATGACAGGCAGGGTTCTAACCTTACTTTGTAAGAGGTTCTAAAATAGAGCTTATCAAAGAGCAAGTAGCCCCAAAGACTGTTCTCCATTTGTTTAATTAGAAGTGAGAACATGAATCTGAGGTATAGGTTGGCTGTGAATCAAATGGGTTTTGAGGTGTTTTGATAAGTTTTTACTTTCTGCAACTTCATCCTTCTTTAACACACCCAACCAGGAAGTAGGATTTAGATCAGTAGGTCTTACAGTTCCCATAAGATATGTTAAGTTTTCCCACCATTATCAGCATAAGGATTTGAAGAGAAATTCTGTAAAAGGGCATTACTTGAAACAAATTCATGACACAGATGAATTCTTTAAAATCTTGAGATAAATTTTAAGGGCAGTTATATTCTCAGAGAATAAATTTTGCAAAGTTTATCAGCATGTTGCACCTAATCAATCTTTTCTTTAAGTTATTTATATTTATTTAAGATACAATTGGAAGTTGTCAAAAACTGTGGAATCCTGAGCAGGATTGAATAGTGCACAGAAAATTTAGATCAATTTAAGATCAAATTAAGTATCTCTTATTCTGGGAATTTGCACTTGGATATGAACAGATTAAAACAATAGCAGCAGCAGCGGCAACACAAAATAAAGGTATTAACTTTACCTACCACTAGTGGAATTTACATTTTGGTAGGATTTTCCCCATTTGTTCTTCAAAAGATATATGTTATATGTTTGGAATCTTTTTTCCAAAAGCTTTCTTTTAAAATATTTTCAGAAATGTTGCAAAGGAAATCTTGGGAAAGTTCATGCAATTTTTGCCTTAGATAAAAGACTGCCTTTAAAAATCTGTGTGGCTTTAGAACATATGGATCCTACTAACCATTAACCTTTGAAAGGGTGACCTTAGGTCTATTCTTAATCCAAGGGTGATGCAATTGTTCAAAATTCCTATTGGAGATGCATTTGCAGCCAGTTAATAAAAAAGTTCTATCACTATAGAATTATACTTACTTATTTTAGTTACTGACTAAAATAATGCTGTTTGATCACTTTAGGTATTCATCAATATTGGCTCCAAGTGGTTTTTCACTGTTTTCAAAAATTAAATATACCCTAAAACATGAAGATTTACCTCTATAAAGTTATTTAAAATAATGAGTCTCAGGCTTTGAAGGAAGTTCCAAAAAGAAAAAAAAAAATTTTTTAAATAATGACCATAGCAGCTGAGTTCAACATCCTAAGGTGATTGATACAGTAGTGTAAGAAACTGCACTCAGTCTCTGAAAATATCAGTTTTTTGTTTTCATTGTCTCAATTTACTTCAAAGAAATGGTTTCACCTTTGGTCGGAGTTGCATCTAATGCCTATTTAGTTCTTGAGAACCACTGAAACTACTGCAGATAGAAGAATAACGTGTGTCTGCTTTTGAATTGACTTGATGTTTTTTGTTTAAAATAAAATGCTAAAAATAAGAACAACAAATTAAAACTTGATTTGAAAGCAAAGCATGTGTAGGCACAGTATATTTAATCATTTTTTTTTTAACCTTCCAAGTAGAGTTGTCATAGAAAGTATAAGGTTGTACAAGATCTTATTGAGTTTTTTCAAATGTTTTAGGGGACAGGGAAGAGAATTTAAACAAATGTTGCAACACTTGGCCATCACATCTTCCCATTTGTTTTCCTCTGGGCCCTCTACAGATAATGGAATATGCTTAACCTTGAAAATATTTGGGCAGTCACATAGAATATTCTAGAAAATATAACAGATAAAGTCTGCACAAGAGATATACTTTTCTAATTCTCCTGGAAACTAGGGGTAGAAAGGGAGAAGGAATGGCATTGGTTGCCAACCGATTCACAGTTAAAGGAAGATACTACTGCCTAATTAATCCAAGCAAGGCAGGGTTTTGATAGGTTCAACCTCAGGCAAATTCTTTTTCCACCATTTTTTAATTCCCCTTTCTTTCAATTTCCTCTTTCCCTCCTTCACTTAGTCCTGTATTGTTCCTGCTTGCCAGGTGTGAATACTGCTTGCCAGGTGTGAATTATTGCAGTAATTTTGTCATGAGGGCAGATGTTAGTCAAACAGCAGTCAGATCAGATGAACTTGAGCAGAGAAATTATGCATATTCACTGCATTAAATACACAAGCATACCATGGTGTGAAAACTACTATAAAAACTGCTGGCATATTAAATTAAAATTACTCAACACATATTTACCCATGGAAGAAAATAGGTCTTTAATGATGTTTCAAACATATGTTCACATACATCCTTCACTTTACCTTCTCCTTGGTATGGGGGCATCTGTTGCATGCGCTCATAGCACTTCTTCTCTGCCTCCTGCAGCTTCTTTCGTCCTATGGTGTACAGAAATGGCTCAGGCTCTGTTGTTGATGTGTTTCCACTTGAAGAGGATCGAAGAGTTAGAGTTGGGTGCTGTATTAAAAAGAAAAATACCAGTTACTTATGGAGAGTAAGGATGGGTGAGCACATAAATAAATGAGACAATCAAAACATTAGAAAACATTTGTTTTTCCTTCTATAAGCAATACTTATTCATGGTCTCCATGTAGAATTTTTTTGCTTTATAACTAAAAAGTATATTTATACTTCATTTACAAATTTTACCTACAAATTTTATACTTGCATTAGTTTCCATTCACTATTGAAAATGGATAACACCCACACATACTCACACACCTCTTTTTCAGCTAGTATTGTTTTAATTTTATTATCATTGTAAAGTTTAGAAGTAAACGAAGCAAATAATCTGATTCCCAAAAATACCAATATTATATCAGCTTTGCCTTACTCTTAAACATCATGAATCAATCATATTATTAAAAAATAGACAGTGCAATAAATATGCCTTTTTATTGGATTCTTTCAACCAAATTTTATTTGTGCTTGGATTGTGTACACTACCAGAAATTTATCCGATTTATTCCATAGGACAAACAAAATATGTTTTCTGCCTCTGAAAATTGACCTTAATCTCTTTAAATTGGTTTCATTAGGAGATGACCTACACAGGGCAATTAATTTTCACTGATGAAAATCAATGTAATTCTTAAATATTTCTTTCAGCACATTTGCATTTTTGGTACAAGTTGACATTCGTTTTTCAGTTTCAGTTAATCACTATCACTGTCACAGGTCTCTGTTTATCAAAGTTGTGTGTGTGTGTGTGTGTGTGTGTGTGTGTGTGAAAAGACCACTGGCTGTCATACTGTCATTTCGAAACTGTATTTATATACATTTTAATTTCTGTCGTGGCTATGACCAATATTTTTGGTGGTGCTCAGGTCTGTGGGTTCTTTTTAAAATATCTGCATTCTTGCATTCTGCAAAGAGATTATTCATTTATTTATTTTTTGGAGAAGATCTGCAAACTTAAGCCTTCCTTGACTTTCCTTCTTCTTAAGTTAGGAACGTCGCTCTATTATACCAGTTGAAACACTTTTATTTGGCCTTATTTCTGTCTGCATTATGATAAGAGGTTTTCCCAAGTATATTGATGACAGAAGTAGTGTTTTTACTCTTCTATTAATATATACCCCAGTCTCCACACAAAACACATCCCCGTTAAGTTGACCTGTATCCTCCCAGCTAATCATGGTGGGTCCTCACTGTTTTCCAGTGTGTGCTATTATGTCTGTCCTATGTGACAGCCTATCATTAAACGCTAAGATGTACAGCATATAATACAATAAAAATTCAGAGCCTGGAGAGAGTATGGAGCAAAAGTAGTCAGGATAGCTAGAGATACAAGGTAAAATTTGAATTGGACCTTGAGTGTACATAGTGTCTGAATGGGCAGAGAGGAGAGAAGGGCTTTCAGGATGGAGGGAAAGGCATGCACAAAAGTCTGGAAGCTGGAAATGGCCTGTGTGAGACATTGTGAGGAAACTATCCTGCCTGAAGGGGTGCATATTTAAGGGTAAGAAATAGGGTAAAAAAGGGTGAGAAAATGCAGAGCCTGGAAAGCCAAAAAAAAGAAAAAAAAAGAAAGAAAGAAACTTGTTTTGTTACTTTGAGCAGGTTAGAAACCTCTCTAGGTCTAAGTTTCTTCATTGCAAAATGAGAATAGTAATAATAATAATATCTATCCTCTATGGATGTTATGAAGACAAACAAGAAAACAGATACAAAGTGTCTGGGACATGAAAGGTTCAATGTATCTTAGCTAATATTATTAAAACATGATAATAAAATAAATATGTTTTGCAGATTTTGATCAGTGAAGGTTGTGAAGGAGAATATTAGCAAAATTCATGTGGCAGGCATCAGATATCCACAGGTGAGATTTGGGGAGGGCAGCTAGGAAGTTGATGGCCTGTGCTAGATCACCCCATGTGCAACTTCAAACACCTTCTCAAATAACAAAGACATGAAGGCACATCTGAATATAAGAAATGGAGAACAGTAATAGTCAAACAGCCCTGATACTTAGTCTATATAACTGAAAAAAATTGTAGTTCCCTGAGAAAAGGGAGACATTAGAAAATGAGACCCTTAATAGGGGAAAAAAGGTAAGTTCTCTTTTGAATTTGTTTTGGAAATGTCAAGCAAGTCATCTGAGTAGAAATCACTTGCAAAGAGGGTGTATACTTATTGCCATTATAACATTACTATTATAACTCTAAATGGACATCTATTGTGAATAAAGTTGACATTACTCTTTAAATACTAAGGTCATTTCTAATTATAATGCTTCTTAAATTTATGACAGAAGAAAGAGAAATTAATGAACCCACAAAAGTGATGAGAATGTGCAAATCCTTTACCAATGCAGCTGAACACAATTCTGTTGACATATGACTCTATTTCTACTTGTTTTCAGATCAATCGGTCAGCAAATATGCATTAAATTTGATAAACCAAACATTGTGCTAGATGCTGGGGATGCAATGTTTAATAAAACAAGTGTGGATCTTGCTCTCATGGAGCTTACTGTCTAGCAAGAAGGACCAACACTGTATTTTATTTTAATTTAAATATTTAAAATATTTTCTTGACACCAGAAGTTGTAAACAATAATGAATCATTAATCATAAAATTCTCAGGTATTTGATTGGAAATTGGAACATGGCTTGTGAAACTTAAAAAAAAGTGTTTTGAAGAAATTGCATGTTGAAGCTTTTTTTGTATTTCATTAGCCTGCATTTGTATGAATGGGTGTTTGTGTTTTGTAAATTCAACTGACTATCATGGAGCCAGTAAAGCAGGGAAGGATCATGGTGCCCTCACAGCAGAGATATTAATGATTGGTTCAGTTTATGTGTTTATTTTAGATTCTGTTTTGTGTCTCTGTTCTTACAATCTTCAGTTGATATGAGAATTACCATTTTATATATTATTATTTTCTGGGCTATTTTCTCACCATCTTCAAATTAAATTAGAAGATGGAATAGGATGGACTATATAAATCTTATCTGTCATTTGTACTAGATATTTTAGATGTTAGAAACTAGTTTGCTTAAGGTTGACTTTCTTTGCAGAAGTAACATTCTGAATTCTGTCTTTATATGGCTGATAACCAAATAAAGAATGTTCCTGCTCTATTTGGAAATTCATGGAAGACATGGGTAGATAGTATGTCCAAGAATATTAAGTGGAAAACCTAGAATGTTGGGTTTAATCTAAAATGGTTTTTAAATTACATCCTTATTTGGTTTAATACAATTTTAACATCAGTAACAGTGGAGATATGACCATCTCAGTAAGAGTAGGCATAGTTCATGCTGATGACAGTAGCTTCAATCTTACCATTCTTGCAATATTGAAACAAACTCCAGTGAATTTCGTTTGAAGCCTGGTTCACTAGAGAGTGTTTCAACACTGAAGGAATGAGAAATTAGAACCTCCGTTGTTAGATGAGCCGCGATAATCTGCAACGGTCCCTGGTCTGGTTCGTATTCAAGCAAGATGAAATTTTTCCGGTGATAGATGAATGTCTCAATGACTTTCTTCCTAAAAATAACATACACATTGGGGCATTCTCTTTATATATACAGTCTTCCCTTGGTATTTTTGGGGGATTGGTTGCAATACCTCCTGCATAAACCAAAATCCATGAATGCTCAAGTCCTCCATGTAAAATGGTGCAGCATTTATTTGCATAGGTGCACATCCTCCTGTATATTTTAAATCATCTCTGGATTGCTTATAATACTTAATACAGTATAAATGATATGTAAATATACATTATACTGTATTGTTTAGGGAATAATGACAAGAAAAAGTCTGTACATGTTCAGTACAGATGCAATTTCTTTTTCAAAAATGCTCTATCTAAGATTGATTGAATCCACAGATGCAGAACCCATGGCTATAGAGGGATGACTGTATATAGATAGAGGATAGGTAGAGAAATGTAAATATACATGTAAATATAAATATTATATGTATATAAAATTACAAACATTAAATTACTACTGTTTCAAATTACACATGTACAAATTTCATAAGATTTAGTAAACATTAAAATTTGTATGATAATTTTATACAAATAAAAATACTGGTAAGGTGATATTTTCAGCAATAAAAAGGCAAAATAAAGATAGTAGGGATTAAATATAACTACCAAGCAATGGGAAAGACTTAAAAACATTTTACTTATCATAAGTGTTATATCTCTATTATATATTTGTGGGATTTAAATGAATACATGATTATATGCTCACATGAAGATAGAAATGAGGCATATTGCTTTTCAGAATAAAAATCAGTGTTCAAAATTTTGCATACAAACCATGTTACATGATTCTTCAAAAAACAAGCAAACAACCAACCTTTTAATTGTTGCTCGATGTAGCAGCTTAGTTGCCGTATATGTGATGTCACTACTAAAGGTTCAAGTTAAATGGCGCCGCATATACAACAACGAAGCTGCCACTAACAGTGGTTGTCAGCAGCCAAAACAACCCTGGCTCTTTCAGTCAATACATACTTTGAGTACCTCCCACGTGGCAGGCATTGTTCTAGATTCTAGAAATTCGGCCGTGAATAAAGCTGGCAAGAACCCTGCCCTCATGTAGCTCACATTCTAGAAGATTTCATCTACAATAACTATGGAGTCCAGCGGAAAGCAATGTGAAATGGCCATATGCTTAGGCAAGTTTTACTTTGATGTAAGACAATCAGCTTGTTTTGGGGTTACAGATAGTTTCTAGATGTATAGAGATAGTAGAGTTACAGAGCTGTTCTGTCTGTATCTTTGAGAGATGTTCCACCTCTGCAATAGTTCAAGCCCACTGAATGTATGGACCATGCTACTACTGGGTTGAAGGGAGTGCTTGCTATTGATTGCCAAGGGCAGAACTGCTCTAAAAAGAATATGAATCCAGAATCCACCAATGTAACCAACAGGATTTCCATGCTACCATCCTTAATATTGATAATGTATGTATATGTTAAAATTATTTGTGTTTTTCAGTTGCTTATAGTTTTCAAAACAGCAAAAAATGAAGTGCAACTTTGTAAAATATTAGCACTGGTTCTTCCAGTTAGGATCAGATGCTTGGTTGGTGTTCTTTGTACTGTCTACTTATGCATTGTATAAACACCAAAATTTCTGCATATATCACACAGTCAAAGCAAATAGGGGTACGTAGCTAAGTAAACAGCAACAACAAAATGCTTCTCGGAAGAACCTAGTTTTTCTGTCTTCATTTCTGTCTTCTGTCTTTGTTGTTTGTGTTCACTGTTATCATCATCATCCTCCTAGCATTTTTTGAGAGCTCACTATGTACCAGCCACCGTTCTAAGCCTATTGTGTTACCTCAGAGGAAGGCGAGGAAGTGAATGGGTGGTTTTGGTTAGTAGAAAGAGGCTAAGGGAAGATGGTGACCCAAATTGATACTTTAAAGAGCATATGGAAATCAAGTTGGTAAAATTTCATAAATAGAGTTTTTTCCACAATAATGTATTATCTAAAAAGTGATGTTTTGGATTAATTAAGAATATTGTCATTAAAAAAATTACTTTTTCTCTAAGGAATATCCATGTGGAACATAATGAGTGTTTTAAAGAAAATTGATGGATCAAATTTTGTTTTATGGACAAATCCTTCAAATCAAATATATAATACAAATACAGACAGAAAAGCAAATTTCTCTTTGTCACAGAAAAGAGAGCACAAAGCCATTTAAGTGCTTTGTTCAGTTATGTTTGCTGTAAAGAGATGCCCAAAGACCATAAAATATTTTTATCCATGGCTCATGCAAAAATATGCAATTTTTTAATATTTAAATTGTAGAATATAATAGATTGAAGCTTTGAATAAAAATGACCCACTTTAATTTTTTAACACACTAAAATTATCTGTAGTTTTCATAGTAAAAAAGGTAATTAGATAATCTTCAATGTCTTTCATCATCGTTTAGTAGTTCCTTTAATTTTTCTTCTATTATGCCCAATATAACTATATCCTTTATGAAACAAAATTATTTGGAAATATTCACATAAGATTTCATTTGAGCTATGAAAAATAACAATATCAATTTATGAATAATATATACCAATATTTCTGCATGTACAGAAGACCACATGAAGCTTGGTAATTTGCAGACAAATTAAAATATTCTATTAGATTCTACAATATTCTTGTGTGTGTTTTTATTACATTTCTAATGGCATGAAGTAAGTTGCATTTGAAAATACTAGATTACTTTCAGAAAATTATACTGTAATTTATCTAAAGAAATATTTAATAAGTAAAATAATATATAACAGTTTGACATAATAAAATAAACTGTGCTCATTATCCAAATAAGTGCAAAAGGGTTGCATTAACAATCATTCCTATAAAACCATTTATTTGAGGTATAATATTACAAAATAAAAATTCTCTTATAAGTTAAATTAACATTTACAGAATACTAATCTATATATTCTGAATAACGGAAAGAGAAACAATATAGGCAGACTTGTAAGGCCGTGCTACACATTAATGAACAATGGAAATCCTGGAACCCTGTGCAAGCTTCGCTGGGGGTCAGTACGACAGTGTGAGATACTGAGTGATGTTTAGTGCCAGCTGTAATTCATTGGTAAATGCTATTCTGGCGAGGTAGGATAAGGAACAACAACTCCAAAATGATTTATGTATAATTTACTCATCTCCCTTTCATGTGCTATTGAAGTTGATGTGATGGTGAGTTAACAATGTCGACACAAATAAATAGTCACTGATAGTGTTTTCTAGGATGATTATACTATTGACTACTTGCTAAATCTTTTTAGAAATTAGGCAGTATAAAATTACATAAATTGAACATGATTTAAAAAGCTGGAGAAACAGTTATGCAGTGACAGTGGTATAAAAGACTTGGAGATTCTTAGTCAGTTTTTGATGAAAAATACATTTGAAATCAATAACCAGACTGAAAGAGTTTAGATGTTTTAAAATGATGGAACAGCCCAGAAAATATGTTTCAAAACTACATGTCAAACAGGAAGACCATTTTATCTGAGAATTTTTTTAGCCTTTTATATTAATTTCTAAGATAATATGAAGATGTCACAAATTTGTGCTAAAATTTTATACAGAAACAAAGATCAAACTTCTGGATAAACCATGACATTAAATTAGTAAAAGTTCAGAAGGCAGATTTGCTAACAAAATATTAAGAAAAATGACGGTTTTGAAGAGCTTAATTTTGGCTTCTGGAGAACTATGCCTGCCCTTGCAAATGCCAATTCAAGCACACTCAAAACACTCCTCCTTATTCAGCATTCTTAATTAATATGGCTTAGAATAATTTTGTTTTACTTACACTTAGAAGAATGAACAGTGCCAACCACTGGCACATAGATTTGATCTTCATTTTTGCTTTTTGAAGATCTCTCTTTGTCCTAGAAAAATATAAAAGTAACAGATATTTAAGTTAGTATATCACTAATATAGACTATATATTTTCCTTTTCTATTAGACTTGAACAGGATAAATGTCCCAAGATAACCTACATAAAATACATGTAAGAACAATTTGTGTTGCAAATGCAGCTTCATGTTCCACTGCACCTCCTGTCAACCAGATTGTTGTACCTAACTCCCTCCTATTAAGAAATTCTGGAGCTACCTTTGTATATCAGGACCAATATAAAGAAATTCTAATAAATCAAGAGCAATCCACATTGATTTCAACTAACTGGTGTCATCAAGAACTGCCGAAAATTGCAATGGAGACATCTACAAAGAAGACACCTTACTGGACATGAACAAATAACATCTATGATTTGTGACAGATTAACAGTCATGCCCTCTAGGGAATCTAAGGTCAACTCTAACAGTAATCTTATTTAGACCTTTGAGTATTTTTCTTTCCTATAAATATTTCTTCAAGCTTCAAGTTGCCATTAAGAATAAAATTCTTCCACAGCAGGGATTTGAGTACATGATCTAACAGCTCACTATTCCTACTCATGAGCATAGAAGTCAGAAGAGGCTGCTTTATCACAAATATCAAACAGTTTTTCATAGCCCTGAAGATAATTTTTAGAAAAGATAATCAAGGGGTGAACATTTGAAATGTATATACATTTCTTTTCATTCATGGAATTTGTGCGAATACTACATTTCAACCAGGGGTGAGTGGTTAGCATTGCATCTGAAGTGGTAATGATTGCCTCTTATACTGTTATATTCATTGTATCATGTACAGATTTTCCATATTCTGTCAGGTATAAAGTATGCCTAATATATTGCTCCCAAAAGAGTACATTCTATTCAATCTACATATTGGTATTACAGGAAATTAAAAATGTAAAGTATAATTTTGAAATGTCATCTTATATGTTGACCATTATTCACTGTTTCTGATTTTCTTCACGTCCACTCAGTAAGTTAAACACACACATACACCTGTATTAAGTGCTGAGACACCATAAGGGATAGAAATCTGTGTAAGCTGGATTAGATATGGCTCCATTATACAGTGAGAAACTGGGTGCGAGGAGGGAGTAGGTGTGAATGATACAAGATATGGCAAAATGACTAAAATGTAGACCAGGTAAAAGGTTCAATAAAATTGTGAGAATGCACAGCCTCATGGAAAGCCATATAATTTCTGATTAGAGGGACAAGAGCAGGATTTATATTTTGAGATATAATTTGATAACTGAATAGGATTTTGAAAAGTGGAGACTACAAGTCAGAGAAAGCAGATAAAAACAAGATATGGAGATAGGAAAATTTAGGGTAACTAAACAAAAATGAATACAACAATTTAGCTGGAGCATAGAGTCTCTTAGAAAGTAGAAACAAGGCTGGAAAAGTAGGTTTCTAGTGCTTAGGAAATTTATGACCCAAACCACCCTTTTGGCACTCTGTGTATCTTCCGTGCATTTTCATCTGCATATATACACATCCTAACAAGCTTATCAGATGCTAAACCCTTTCCAGATAAGAATTATTTTTTAAATGTCTGTGCATCTCTAGCACATCACACAATTGCTTACATGTTTATTATTATTGATAATGATGGTGGTTTGTGATCTAATGAATTAAATGAAACAGAACTCTGATGTTTTACAACTGTACCCTCTCCACACCATCCTATTAGCAAATCTGAATGTCCATCTGGTCCATATCAACTACCATTTATTTATTTATTTATTTTTAGAGACAGGGTCTTACTCTGTCACCCAGGCTGGAGTGCAGTGGTGCAAGCTTAGTTCACTGTAACCTGGACCTCCTGAGCTCAAGTGATCCTATCATGTTAGCCTCCTGAGCGAGTAGCTAGGACCACCGGCATGCACTACCATGGCCAGCTAATTAAAAAAAAGAAATATTTTTTTTTTTTTGTAAAGATGGGGGTCTTGCTATGTTGCCCAGGCTGGTCTTGAACTCCTGGCCTCAAGCAATCCTCCTGTCCTGGCCTCCCAAAGTGCAGGGATTACAAGTGTGAGCTACTGCATGTAGCCCCAGCTACTGTTTTAGAGTCAGGTTAATTAAGCATTGGCAAGAGAAATGTTAAAATAATTTAGAAAGGTGTAAAGAGAGAAGCCCACTAAAACAAATGCATAACTTAAAGAAATTTTCAAATATCAAAAGCGACTCTTTTATGAGTAATTTCCTTTTATTACCATCAGTTAATACTTTGTTAAATGCTACGGAGGTTCATAGTTCAGGTCACCATATTAATTGTAGTTCAATTATAATTTGTCTCTCTAAAACAGAGAGACATTTCTCACGTACCTCTGTGTATATAACAAATTTAGTACTTAAAAGGACATCATCAAGCATTACTGTATAGTGTATTATGCCACCTATGCCACCCACTAATACATACATACACCCACCAGACAGAAAGGTAAATCACATTATCCCATGGTCTGGTGATATTTACTAGAACAAGTAACAAAATTAATGGCACATTTGGAAACTAAGCCTAGAAATTGTTTCTTTGGTTTATATTTTAGATGCAGATATTTGTCACAGTCATACAGAAAGGTCTTTAAAGTTATTTTTTAAATTAAAGCAATGTTTCTAGAAAAATAAAACAATATAAGGCCTATTTTATTAAAAGAAGACAATATGGAAGAGTTTGATTTGAGTCTTACGGCAAGATGTGGCCTGCTCTTCTTATGAATTACTACAAAGATAGAACATGCTAGAACATTCCATATAAGAAGAATGATGATGATATCTTGCTCACACAACACATTTTTCCTTGTATCAACATAAACATTAGGTGTTTTGACAACAAGTCAGAATATATCTTTTTTGGTTAAAATATAATTTAATGGAGGCAGGAGAAAAAACTTCGACATAAAGGATTGTATATTTTGAGAGTAGAATGATGTTTAGCAGAGTCTGGGAAAGGTATTCAGGGCAGGAGCAGTGTGAAGAGAGGATGTTTAATGAGTGCAAAAATATAGTTAGAATGAACAATATTTGATAGCATAACAAAGTGACATAATTTCTTGATGAAGTTTAGCCATAAGAAGTTTTAAATATAGGCATTATGATAATGGAGATGTACAGCTATCTTCTGGCAAAGTTTTGCTTTATTAACTACATAAGTTTATAAACTGTAAATAATTTTATAATATATGCCAATATTCTTAAAGCACCTAGACCCTTTGCCTAAATATTTTGCCCCTCTGGATATAAATCGTCTCAGATTTGATTATAGAAACTTTGTCTACTATAGAGGAATTTGAAAGTAATCTAAATGTTCAAAATAACAGATTTGTTAAATAAGATTTGGTATACTTACATTGTAGAATACTCTTCAGTCATTAAAAATTGTGTGTTAGAATATTTAATTACCTAGACAGATGCCCATGGTATGTTATTTCTTTAAAAATGGACTAAGAACTGGATATATAACAAAATCTCATTTCTAAAATGTATATTTATGTGTGTATAGAAAAAAGGCTTGAAGAATATAATAAAATTAATTTTGAGTACTTATTAGGCACCAGGCACTGTTAGTATATTACCTCACTTATTCCTTTTGACAGCCTTTCCATGTAGGTACTATTTAATATTATTGCTAATGTAATTTTATAGCCATGAAAGCCGAATTGTAGAGGGGCTAGGTAAAGTACTAGTTAGATAAGCCATGTAACAAACAACCTCAAAATCTCAGTAGTCTAAAAGAATTCAGGTTTTGCTCAGGTGACTGTGGGGCAGCTGAAACTCCGTGTGTGGACGGGTTCCATTCCACACGATTTTCTCCTGTGGTCACGGCTGATGGAGCAGTACTGATCTGAAGCATGCTGTCCTCATGTCAGAGGAGCCAAGCTTTGCTCAGATGGGGTGAGACACAACTACTCACATCCCCTTGACCTAAGCAAGGCACAATGTCAAGGCCAAAGTTAATGTGTCAGGAATATATAACTGTTTTCTCAAGAAGGAAAAAGTATTAATAAATAATTGGATGGACACACACACACACACACACACACACACGCACACAGGAAAACTGCACAAGTTTCCACAGCAGGGTGACAAGGATGGTTGGTACTGGAACCTCTCCAGATGGTGGGACTAAAAGTGATTTTATCTTATTTTTTGCTTGTCTGCATTCTCTACTTTTTGCAACACACAGGAATTGCTTTTGCTAAATGGAAAAGAAGAGGAAAAAAAAAAGAGACAAAATGAACCATCTTGCTCTTGTTCTGTGTTTTATTTACATTGATGATAAGAATGTTCCCTGTGGTGTAGCTTTGGAGTACAGAATAAGAACATATTAGAAGGAAGGAAGGAAAACGATATTTGTCTCACCTTAAGTGCTTGGCTCTGCTTTCAATCTGTTTTCAGATAGTGGGAAGTATACTTTTTCAAAAGTTTGACAATAATCCCCAATAAGGAATAACCCACAAATTAAAATAAGGAACTTAAACCGATAGGAATACCATTTCCGTAAGAATCATTCTCTATAATTAAAGCTTCATTCATGATACCAATAGCATGTTGCAGTAAAAAAAAAAAAAAATGAGTTAGTACTAATTAGCATTACATTTAAGACAGGATGTCTGATGGGCTTTCTAATTACATCTCTTAAGAGTGGTCTGATGGTGATTAGGTGTTAAAAATGTATTTCACAAATGTAATTACAAAACTATAAGGGGAAATTAATCTCAATGGCTAATGAATAATAGTCATAATACACTCATAAAAACAACTTGCAACAAAACACAAAGGCGGAACACATTCAGGGATATTATAGAAAATTGCCCAAGTTTCCCATTTTAATTCTTATCACTGTTTTGCTTCTTTGGAATTCCCCCTAACAGGGAAAAAAAACCCACAAATTCTATCTTACATTTCACATTTGTGTTCTTTAGTATACACTATCATTGTAACATTATTTAAGAGTGGCTAAAAATAGCTAAATTTTGCAA